CCCATCGATTGCTAGCAAAAAAAAAAAAAAAAGGATCGACACATGACTCTTTTTTTTTTTATTATTAAAGAAAAGAGATCGATGGGGGACATTTGTTATTAGACACTTTTATTATGTGCCCCACTCTTTATTAAATATGCCCACTTTTTATGAGAAGAGTCTAGCCCTTTTGGAAAGAAATCGTTCCACCCGTACACTCTCTATCCCATTTGACTGACAGATGTTTTTCCATTCCTTCTCTCTGTTATTCGGGATTTGGTTTCTTTCTAGGGGGGGGGGGGGGGAGCTACAAAAAAAAATTCCTTTCTTCTTTGGTTCTATCCAAGATGGAAAAAGAAGCTTTTCGAACGTTTCTTTTTTTTTTTTTTTTTTTTTGTGAAATTTCTTGATTGCCAACGAATTTTTATCGAGAAACTTTTTATCAGCTTTCTGTATATCTTTTTTTTTTTTTAGGAAAAAAAAAGTTCTTTCTCTTTCTTTCAAGACGGAGGAAAAAAAAAAGACGATGCTAAAAAAGGTTTTAGTTGAAATGCCGATGAAAACACCTTTTTTTTTTAAAAACCAGAATAAATTGATACATCATTTGATGGACAGAAACAAGGTTGTTTTTTTTTTAAAGTACATAGAGAAAGCACTTTCTCTCTCTCTCTCCCCATTTTATACACCAAATAATTGTCAACAGAATTAAAAAAACAGCAAAGAAGGGTTACATGGACAAGACAGAAAAAAAGAAAAAAGAAAAAAGAAATTCCTATAAAAGGCAAGAAGAAAAAAAAGTAAACCCAAGAATTCGGTAAAGGAGACCCAAAGTTTCACCAGTTTCGTCATTTTTTTTTTCAAGATAAAAAATATATTAAGCGTTTTAGAAAATTCAGGGACCACAATGATATTTTTTTTTTTGTGTGATCGTTAAAAAGGCAATTCTATGATGTAATCCGCATTAAAATGAGGATAAAAATAAACAAAAAAAGGAAAGGATTCTTTTTTAAATCGATTTCTCTCTTTTTCTCGTTCTTCAAACCACTTTTTTTTTTTTTGTTCTATTTTCTTCTTTCTACACACAAAAAAAAAAAAAAAACTTATCTAATAAATATATATATAATGAACGCTACAGCAGTAAATCGCAATCAAGGTAAAATTCATCTTTTTTTTTGTTCGGTTGTAATTGTTCCAGAAAGTAAATACTTACAGAAATTTAAAATAATAGCCCAGGAAACCAATCCTTTCGAACAAAGCTTTTCATCAGCCTCACCAAAGCATGATTATGATCACTCAAAGATAACCCAAGATGGCATGATCGATGTCTGGGTATCCGATACGTCTTCTTACTCGTATAATTCCGTCAATAATGGTACGTTGAAAATAATTAAAATTTACTATATCGGGGACCTCACTAAACCGCACTGCTCAAACAATAGATGCTTTTTCTGTATCGGATCACGATGATAACAGTGATGATACTTTTCTGATAAACACTACTACTGCTACTGCAGCATCAGCAGCATCAGCGACAGCAGCAGCAGCAGCAGCGCATGTAAGTCCTTTTTTTTTTATTATTATTATTAAAAAGATCACGCAATTAATAAAAAAGTCATTTATAGTTTGAATTCGAGCAGCAACGACCCAAGCGACACACAAATGAAGTCTATCAGCAAACACACTTTGTAAATAATAGTAAACAAAAGACACCCAAGAAGAGAACACGCACGGTCAAACTACCCGAGGATGAGGAAAAGCGAAAGAACTTTTTAGAACGCAACCGACTGGGTAAGAAAGGGGGTGGGGGTGGGAGATGACATTTATATAAGATACTAAACAATAATTTATTTATTTTTTTTTAGCTGCGCTAAAGTGTCGCCAGAGAAAGAAGCAGTGGCTTTCGAATCTTCAAACACGTGTGGAGTACTTGGCCAATGACAATGATCAGCTTCAGATGGAGTCAGAGGCGTTGCGTAAACAAATCATGGAGTTAAAAAGTCTATTGGTGAACCATAAAGAGTGTCCACAATACAATGCCCAATTAATGAAGAATTCAACACAACAACAGCATCAGCATCAACCTGTCTATCACCATGATTTTTCCACCATGAACTAAAAAAAAAGATTTTTTTTTTTGTTTTACATATTAACATTGCCTTTCGTTTTTTATTATTTTATTAATTATGCATTTACTCAAACAAACAAATATATATATGAAATCTCTTTCTTTTACACCCCTCAACACCCCCCTTTTTTTTTGTATAAACCTCAACATCTATTAATAACCATGCCTCTCTCTTTCTTTTTCTTAAAAATAAATGTAAAAAAATAAAAATAAAAACCATTTTCTGCTCTACTCTCTTACCCTGTAAAATAAAAAAGCTCTGCTAATAAGAAACTCTACTCTATAAAAAGGGCCTGTCTACTCTACAAAAAAAAAACAATTTTCTGCTTCAACAAGAAATTCTACTCTACTCTATAAAAAAAAAAACCAATTTTTTGCTCTACAAAAGAAAGAAAGAAAAAAAAATTATTTTTAATATTAGAAGCAATAAAATGTGGCGATTGAGATGCATGGACTTTTGGGGGGGAAGAGAGGGTCCAATGTTGAATGGATTTCTCGGAAAACGCCAAGAAGATATAATATTTTATAAAGAACTGCCTTTGGGTTCTTGCGTAATTTTCATTGAGAGAAGGGAAAGATTGTTCTGCATAATGGGGGGGGGGACAATAAGGGGAAATAACGCGAAAAAGGGTTTTGTTTGAATGGTTGCGCGTGAGAGAGGGGGGGGGGGACAGACTAGGTTTTTAATGGACATCATTTCATAATGAACTAAAAAAAAAAAAAGATCATACTTGACTCTATTACCATATTAATAGAAAATATATATTACGCTTTTTCATGCTGTGTGACATTTTTACTTTTTTTTGATGGGTTCTTTCATCCCCCCCCCCACAACAACAAAAGTGAAACAACCTAAAAATCCCCTTCTCCATTATTATTCATCATTTGGGGGGTGAAGGGAAGGGTCTCCATTTTAGTACAACATTCTCCTATAAATCTCTCTCTCTCTCTCTCTATTTCTTTTTCTTGGCTGCTAAAAAAAAAAAAGGGTAATGACGGTGGCAAAACGCGCGCTTACACACATTCACACATACACACACGCGCATGGATTTTCTAGATTGAAATGCAAACTTGTCAAAACATGGTTTTACCGGAGAAAAAAAAAATAAAAGGCGACATTGCATTGGTTATGAGGTTAATATACTCTTTTTTGGGGGGTGGGGGAGGTGTAACTAGACAAGAAGATGGGTGTAATTATGGGCAGAAAAAGGATGTACCTGAGAAATAAGGGGGGGGGGAGAGGTGAGTTTATCTATGCTGCAATGCAAGGGGCCTGTTTCTAATGGAAATCAAAGAAACCATCAAGTATATAAAGGACTTTTTTTTTTCAAGCTTTTTTTCTTTTCAGTTTATTTCATTTCTCTCTCTTTTTTTTTTACTTTTATTTTTCTATCAATGCTTCAATCGCAAATCATTAATGTTTTACCTCGTCGTCTTTTAGCTGGATTATGGTCTTCACACGAGACTCGTATTTCGGTAAATTTAATCATGACTTACACTAAAAGGTTGTCATAGTTTCTAACGGAGATCAACTTTTTTATTTAGCTTTCTCATCTTCGACCTAGCAACCAAAGGTAACACAAGCATAATTGACATTTATAAGACAATATGAATTGTTTGTTTATTTATTTATTTATTATTATTATTATTATAGTCAGCAGCCTGCAGCTACCTCAGCTCAATTTCTTTCAACTGAATTGCCAATCCGATACACACATATTTTGAGATTATTATCCACCTTATCTCATGACTCACTCGGATCACCCATCATTCGGAATGTATCTCATAGCTATCTTCGTGATATCTGTACACTTTTACATCCTTCCTTGATGGCTACCTCACCCAAAGCATTTTCTTCCGTCTTGACTCGTTTACGTCAAAGTCAAGCTACTAACCTTATTCGTCTTCGATATGCACTTTTATCTTCACCCACATCTTCTTCTGCTACTTTAATGGAGAATATCAATACCATTGGTTATGGTATTCATCTTTTACTTGGTAAATATATATGATAATAATTCTCCTTAAAATAAGGGCTTACCCCCTACCAAAAAAAAAAAAAAAATGTCTTGGCATTCTTAAGTATACTAAATAATGTGTGTAGATCAACATCTTTCTTGGAACAACACCAGTAATTATGCTCAAAAGGTCTGTACAGAAGAAATTGCACATGGAGCAGTAGATGATGCTAAACGAGCGTTTTCAAATGCATTTGGAACGGATACCCTCATTCCAGATATCGATATTAAAAAGTGTGATCAACGCAACAACAAAAAAGAGGAGGAATTTGTTTATATTCCCAGCATGTTGCATCGTGTACTGTATGAATCATCACTCTTGTCATTAAAAGCACAACATGTGCATAATGAGGATATCAAACGCACATCCACCTGGTTTCAAAAGACCTTTAGAAATACAACTCGCCCCTTATCTTTACGCATCTTTGGAGGACCGACCAGTATTGGATTTCGTCTGGATTCTCCCGCTCCACTCTGTGAAGAAGACTTGTTACCTGGTATTCCTCGTGACCCGATGGGTATTCCTACCTGTGGATCTGTGCTTTCTCATACAGGTGCTACCACAGTGGATGCTACGGACTATTCAGGTGTAGAATGGGAGTCCCTGAGTGGATGGCGATCGGCCAAGACATTAGCTAGTCATTGGGGTGGTAACTTGGATGCAGTGACAGTGGATGGACTTGGTTCAACTGTTTATTTGGCTTTAGACCGTGATCCATCTTTATTAGAACGTTATCCTTCCAGAGCCACCTTGGCTTCCTCCTCTCATAGTTTACTTCGTCATCATCGACGTACATCTGCTGTCACTGCATCCAATGACTCTAGTACACTTTCTATTCAAGCTGCAGCCACTCAATTAGACGCCTTTTTGTATGCTATATCCGATTCTCAGCAATCTACATTCAATCCTACTCCTCTTTATCATCATCATTCTGTTTCTCTCAGTGCTGCTGTTGGACACGCTTAATTTTTTTTTTTTTTTTTAATTATTTTACCCTTCTTTTCTCTCCTGTATGGTATAACTTTTTTTTTTTTTCCTTCTCATCTATTTTCTTATTTATCTCTCTCTCTCTCTCTCTCTTTCTTAGCATTCAACATACACAGTCCTTTTTTTTATTATTATTTATTATTTTATTATGAATAACACACACACAATAATATCACCGGCAACCTTCTGCATATATATAACCTCATTTACAACATTTCTTGTACATATTTTTTTTCTTCTTTTTCTTTTTTTTTTTTTTTTTACCCTTACACATCTATAAATAAATCTCTCTCTCTCTCTTTCTCTCTTATTCCAAAATAACTTCATGTCCGTTTCATGACCGGCATAATAAACTTTTCTTAAAGCATATCTGCCTGTCATTTACATCAAATGACTTTTTTGTATGCAATAATTTTTTGTTGATTTATTGGTGAAACAAAAAAGCTCCTCCTCCCCCCCCCCCCAAAAAAAAAAGAGAAAAGCTTATTTGCAATGGATCCGGAATTTTTTTTTTTTTTATATATACCTTCTTTATTAGAAAAAATGTAGACACAAGTCTTGGCATTTTTACAGCCAAACAAAAAAAAAAGATATGTTGGGGGGACAAGAATGTAGGGCTAAAAAAGAGAAAAAAAAAAAAACTGGTATTCTATATGACAAATCATAAAAGAACTACTTCTTTGTTTGTTTATTCTCTGTGGGGGGCCAGGTAAAAAAAAAAAAAGAAAAGAAATTCGGAGACGCCCTTCCTCAAAAATATGCCAACATTACACAATAAAAAAAGATCGACGTGATCATCTAGAAGAGGGGGAGTTTTTTCCTCAGTGGACGGAGTTTTAGGTAACTCATTCTTTCCTAGATAACTCATTTATTGTCCTTCACCTGCTCCATCATTCATTATTCATGTACTGCTGGGTAAATAGGGGACGAAAAAAAATAAAATCTTTTTATATATGTACAACAGTTGGTATATTTTTTTTTAATAACTAAGTGAGGGTTTTAAATAGGGTAATGCAAGTATATATGCTATTAAAAATAATTTTTTCTAAAAATGCTAGAGAGGGGCTGTAGTTTTGTTCATGAGAGCTTCAATTTCATGTATTTGTTTAGGTACTTTTGTTAGATTTTCATATCCATCCTCTGTAATGACGACTGTATCTTCAATTCGAACTCCACCCACCATACGGTATCGATCCAGCATAGCCAAGTCAAAATATTGTTCGTACCCGGGATACTGGATCCAAATGTCCAACATTTCTTCATTAAAATACAGTCCAGGCTCTACCGTCAATACCATGTTTTTCTCCAACGGTCGATTACATAGAAATTCAAACGTGTCTTCTTCTTCGTCTGACTTTACATTGCGTCTATTAGCATGTTAGCTTCTTATTCAATTTACTACATTATTTATGTCTTTTTTTACCCTCCCACATCATGAATATCGAGTCCAACGGAATGACCCAGACCTATAAATAAGTTTTTTTTTTTAGTCTTGTGATTTCTATCTATATATATATCTAAAAACTTTTACCGTGATAATAAAAGGCACTAGGTACACCCATTTGAATCAATTCTTCTAATTGATCTCCGTGGCGGCATTTGAGGATACCTATATGTACAAGTTCAATTGTCAAGACCTTCATGGCCAATTCCTGCATATCGGACCATAGCACACCCGGTCTTAACTTTGAAAGCACCGCCTTTTTTTAAGTAAAAAGATAAGTGAGCCATTTTATTAAATATCATTATCAGACTCTCTCTTTTTTTTTTTTACCTCTTGCATTTGGAGGACAATGTTATAGATGACCCTTGATTCTTGTGAAAAGGTGCCATGAACAGGAAATGTGCGAGTGATATCACTGGCATAACATAATTTCTCACCCCCCGCATCGACAAGAACCAATGTATGCGTGTTACTGGGTATGATCTGATTGTTCTTTGTATAATGTAAGGTAGCAGCACGAGGACCCGAAGCGACGATGGGTAGATAAGCTTGTTTATAAATCTGTTGTAATGCACATGTCCATCGAAACAAGGCTGCTAAATGAGTCTCTGTCATACCCAATTGAAATTGTTGAATTAAAGCAATATGTGCCTGAGAGGAAGCATAAGTCACTTGTCGCATAATGTCAATTTCCCAAGAGAACTTGATCAATCGTGCTTCGTTCATGGCTGGTAATAAGAATTCGGTATGAACAAGACCTACAAGCATGGGCGCTCGTCGGGTGAGTTCGGTTGCTTGCGTGGTATCGAGTACATGGGTGACTTGGGGTGAAAGCATTGAGAGTAAATGAGGAAGATCTGACTCGTTGACGATTTCATCCACATCGTATTTCTCTAAAAGATCTCTGGTATTGTCATTAGGTCCTTTCCAAAAGATGTCATTTTCGGGTATATGGGGTGTAATCAAGTACACTCGTTCCTTTTGTAAATGAATTATCACATGAAATCCTGGTTCATCCACACCTTTTTTTTTTTTTTTTTAATGGTTAAGATCCCTTTTTTTTTTCAATTGAAATGGGATTTTCTCTTGTTTTTACCTGTTAAATAGAAAAAATTGCTCTCTTGTCGAAATTCCATATCCACATCTGTGTTGTCTCGCGTGCTTTCACTTTTACCTTTTACATAAATGACTGAAGACGATTGTTTGCATTCGAGTAATTGCTTGACTTTTAAACAATGTTGTTTGGTTGGAATGGCTGGTTTATTTATAAAGTGTCTTTTAATGTTGAGTGGATGAGGAGTCATAATGGTCGAATAAAAGTGAAAAAAAAGGAGGAAGAGGAAAAAACGAATTATTCCTAAATATCCCCCCGCCCCCCTTATTTTTTTATATATGTCTGCTGATGGAACACAAAAAAAAAAAAAAAAAACCCTACCCCATCATTAGGCAACGGTCTTGTAACAGTTTTTATACAAAAAAAAAACCGGCAATGAACCAAAAATGGTTTGAACCCATTATTTCCAATAAGGCTTTTTTTTTTAGGCATCTTAAAAAAGAAAGCTTTCAAACTCTAAAAAAAAAGATTGCAGAATAAAAAGACTCACACTGAAATACACACATGATCTCACTTTTTTTTTTTTTGGGATACGCCACAAGAATGCCTTAGAAACATGTTAAATCATCTATTGTTAACCTTATTCTCGATCTATTTTTTTTTTAGGAATAAAGTTACCACAATAGGCATAGTGCACATGACAGTCGGGCCTGTGTTACCATCGACTCTATACGGGCAAAAAAAAAAAAAAATGACGATTTTTTTTATTGTCGTACCAAATAAGTGCCTGCTGTGTATTCCTTTAACCAATCCAATCCCATTTCTGCTCAATTTGTTTGTATTTTGTAAAATGACTCTTTGGGTTTCATGACAAAGAAAAAAAAAAAAAAAACTTGTCATTTCTTATCCAATGACGATCCTCTATTATCACCAGTGATCCAAAACGTGATTTTTTTTTATATACATCTTGTTTACGCGCTCACTTTCATATTACAGAACGAATGGAGCTCGTCAAATTTAGACTTTTTTATTATTATGTTTATAAAAAGCAGTAACATGACAACCCGTTGTTTGGGGAAAGAGAATCAAGTATGACACTACCCAAACGTCAAAACAAATTAAAAAAAAAGCTTCTCCCCACCGTGTTTAATTTATAAAAAGGGGAGGCTATATGTAATAATCAAATGTAAATAAATGATAAAAATGTGTCATTGTTATTTAGTATCTTATCACCACACTCCCTCTAATTTTCATCATCTTCATAAAAAAAAGAAAATACAGGTCCACCCCCTGTATCTACTCCCGTATATTAAAAATCACACTTCATATTGCTTAAGTATACGACACACTTGCATTAAATTAAAAAAAACACCTTTTTTTCTTTTTAATATAGTCTTCCCCTGTCCCCCCCCCCCCCCGCAAGAAACAATGACCTTTTTTTTTACTAACTATTGTTTTTTGCATGATTGTATCCTGCTGATGATTAAAAAAAGAGCTGATTTCAATATAAACATTCTGAATTTAAGTTGTTGTAAATAGAGAAGAATGACTCTTTTATGATGCTAATATTACAAAATCATTTTTATTATTGCAGCCCCTCCCACCTAAATATAGATTTCTAAAAGTAGTTCCACAACTCTTGGAATTCTTGAGCATACGAATGAACCACAGAAGGAATATTGGTAACAATAATATTTTCGCGATTCTTGAAACGAGCACTATAAAAAATAAAACAGTTGTTTTTTTAGTTCCCCTTAAAGTATTCTTTTTTTTTCTTTCTTTCTTTCTTTTACCCAGCAGACCAGTTAAAACTACCGGTAATGACAGTCTTATTATCAATGACAGCAAACTTATTATGCATAAATTGATCGCTATTGTCCTTCTTGAAAGGAATACCGTATTGTTCATTCAATCGAATCACATCAGCTCCTTTACGTGTATCCATTTGATCATTATCCGTAATAATCTTGACATCTACACCACGATTAAAAGCATCAATCAAAACATCCGCTGTATCATTATCGGTCAAAGAGAACACACAAACGTACAAGGTAGATTTAGCAGATGCTAATGCAGCATGGAAAACCTAATTTTTAATTATATAAAATGTCAATCACTTCGTTATACTATTTGATATTTCCCCCCCACTTACACTGTAACTATCCTCAGAAGGGAAAAAGACGGGCATACAAAATGTTTGTTCACAAGGTAATCTTTCCAGCATTTTAGGTCTAAACTCAGTAATACGCACACGATGACGAGGAGGTTGTCTGCGATAATTATTATTGTTGTTGTTATAATTGTCATTGTTCTGTGCTTGGTTGTTATCATACGTGTTACTGCTGTGACTGTAAGTAAAGTTGGTAGTGATGGTGGTCTTCTTCTTCTTTTGCTTACGACGAACTACTTCAAACCCACCAGCCCCACCAATCTCACGCGACTTGATGGCGACTCTTTCAATCACTTCCTCATACTCACTCTCAGATGAAGAAGAACCATTACCCTTTTCCTCCTCCTCATCTTCTTCTTCTTCACCACTACCTGCACTTTGACCGTAATGTTCTTCCTCTAATTGACGAAGTCTTTCATGCTCAGCATGCTCAGGGGCATAGATATCCGAATTATTTTGTTCGTGATACTTTTTCTTTTCTTCCCAGAGATCATGACGGGTATTTTCCTTTTCCTGTGCAGAGAACCAAGAGAGCTTACCCTCTTCATTATCCGAGTCCGAATCCGAATCTTGTTCTTGTTGTCTTTGGTGCTGTTCCAAAAAGGGTTTAACGCCTAATGTAACACCAATAAAACTAGAGACTTGACATTTTAAAACAGACAAGACTTGTTTGTCACTGTCGCTCTCCATTGCTTTGGAAGCGTGCAAGAACATATTGTCAAGTAATTGAACTGCTTTATCCACTTGAGGTTCTTGTCCACGTAATAAACCGTTCAGATGGATAGACATCTTGTCCAATAACGTGTTGCTGGAGACAAGTGTATCTACAGATCTCATAGACTAAACTTTGGATTTTAAATAAATGACCAACACATAAGAGTAATAGTAGTACCTGTTTCAAGAGTTGAGAAATACTCAAAGGTTTTTCATTATCCCAAGGAAGATCTTCGGCCATTTTTTTTATTAAAAAGAAAGTAAAATGGTTGGGGTAAAGGAAAAAAAAAAAAACTTTTTTTTTATAGGCAGCGTAAAAACGGAAACGTATCCGTTCAAGTGTAATACAACAGTTGAAACCTTATTTCAGACCGTGACTGTAAATAGATGTAGTTGGATTACACAAGAAAACGTTGAGTGAATGTAAAACTATACTGTTAAAAGAAAAAAGGGAGGGAAACTTTTCCTTGAATCCCAAACAGTGACGGAACTGTCAAAAGAAGTGTATCTAAGCCCACATACTAAGCTGCAAGGGGCTGGGTGGGGAGAGAGAGAGAGAGATAGGCGCACTCACAGATGATTGCTTGGCATTTTAACTTTATTATATAAAAAAAAAAACATGTCAAGTAACGTTGGGATTACACAAGGAGTTCCATAAAACAAATAAAAGCCGCATTTTTTTTTTCCCTCCTCTTTACCGGTTTAGGCATTTTCCGAAACTCTCTCTCTGTCTTTTCAGCCACTCCTTTTTACAAAAGACGCCTTTAAAAAAGGTCTTTCTCTTTTCTCTCTTTCTTCTTCTTCTTCTTGGGGATCACAAGTGATTTAACGCGTCTTTTATTAACCCTTAAATCTCGGACATTCTTGAAAGAGCATTACTTACCTAACAAGAAAGATGGTATTTCCCACAAGGATAAAATTGATCTCATTATTACCTGTGGGGAAATGACCTTTTTTTTCATTGGAATCTGATTTGGACAAGTACAGTTGTGTATCACTGACTTTTTTTTTTCCCCTTTTTCAAAAAAAAAAAAAAAAAAAAAAAAAAAAAAATAGATTTCACCGTGCGTGGGAGAGAATGGCGACTATCTTTTTTTTTTTTTTTTTGAAAATCATTCAGACCTTTTTTTTGTCAGTATCGAATGAAATTTCTTTAAGGAGTTCTGGTACCACCCTTGCGTTGCACTAAGAGAAAAAATCAATCCATTTTTATTTTTTAAAAAAAAAGTCCCACTGTGTATTTATGCTTACATCACTCAGAGATTTTTTTTTTCTTTTTATATATAAAAAAGAGTGATACCACAATTAAAATGAATATGAGTTTACTTTACAGCATAAATGATAAAACTCAGCTCATCTCATTCCTCCGCAGCATCTATTATTATTAAAAAAAAAAAGAAAAGTTATGAAAGCCCGGGTGATAAAAAAAAAAAATGGTTGTGTACACGACTTTGCCAAGTATTGCTTTTTTAGGCTGCTTCTCCGAGATTTTCATAACAAAAGAAAAATGTTACAGAATATGAGCACATTAGGTATTGCGCCACGGTTTTCTCTTAAAAGGTGTGCCTCAAAACGTGGCGTGTATATTAAACATTCCCTTTTTTTTTTTTTTGAAAGTAAGCAAAAAAAAAAAAAGATGGCCGGAATAACAACCGTGGCTTGGCAAAAAAAAAAGTGATGAAATATGTTTTTTTTATGAGTATTTTTTTTTTTTTTTTTACCAGTTTCTTTCTTCTTTTTTTGTTTATCATTCCTTCCGATATGGCCTATGCTAATTTTGTAACTGTGCCCATTTCAAAGGAAGAGGACAATGAAACATTTACGGTCAATGCCAGATATCGCATTATTCGTAAAGTAGGCGCAGGTTCTTACGGTACAGTCTGTTCCGCCTTTGATGTACAGCATCAACAATATTGTGCCATCAAAAAAGTCTATCGCGTCTTTGACAAAAGATTACTTACCAAACGATGTCTCAGAGAAATTAAATTACTGCGTCTCTTTAATAATCATCCACGCATCATTCAATTATTCGACATGGATATGATTCATGGTGCCACAGAAATCTATTTAATCTTTGGTTGTATGGACGCAAGTTTACACGACGTCATTCATTCAAAACAACCTCTCGATACAGTACACTGCCAATGGTTTCTCTTTCAGTTACTTTCAGGTCTAAAGTACATTCACGAAGCTAATGTCATTCACCGCGACTTAAAACCTGGTATTATTATTATTATATAAAAAAAAAAAAGACAGAAAATATGTTAAGCGTATTAACTCCGCTCCTTCATAATGTTAGCAAATATTCTAGTCAATAAAGATTGCGATCTTCGTATTTGTGATTTTGGTATGGCCAGAGTGTTTGATCAAACAGACAGTGCTTGCTATCTTACAGAATATGTCACTACCAGGTGGTATCGTGCACCCGAGGTCATGATTAGCAGTCAAAATTACAGCACTGCAAGTAAGTCACTCATTATTGTAGAGCCCCATTTTCACTTAGTTGAAACTAACAAAAATAAAAGTTGACGTCTGGTCTGTGGGGTGCATTTTCGCCGAAATTCTGGAAAGAAGGGTTCTTTTTCAGGGTAAAGATCATATAGATCAATTACATAAAATATTGGGAGTCCTGGGTTTACCCAAAGATATTTCATTTTGGGATCCATCCGAATCTGTTCTTGCCCATATTCAAAACCTATGTACCACAGATGGATTACCTCCTCCCACTGATCCTGTGGATTTCAATGCTCTTTTTCCTTCCTGTCCAACCGAAGGTATTCTCCTCTTAAAATCTCTACTTGAATTAGATCCCATGAAAAGACCTCATGTAGCTGAAGCATTGAAAAGTCCATTCATTCAATCCTTCTCAGATCCTCTTGAGGAATCTCTCGTACCTCCTTCACGTTTACCCAACCAATACGACTTTGAAAGAATCAATAATGACACTGATTTAAAAAATGCAGTGATAGATGAGATTGAATCTTTTAAACACCACCAATCGATCACAACAGAACCCTCCTACTCCTACTCCTCAGCCACCACAACAACAACAACGCCAAGACGGTATAATACAACAGCCGCAGATACCCAATCTTATTGTACAACACCTACTCAAAAACTAAATCAATTACCGTCTGCTACCATGAGTCTATTAGAAGAACATCGAAAACCATCCCATCATCATTTCAATCGGACGCCACTGTACACACAGGATGCTTTGGTCGGTGAACCAGAAGAATTGGGTGAGGATGAAAATTATAGGTATCTCTGTGATCTCATGAATTCAACACCTGGTGTGCCAATGGATTCAAATCGTACTTTTTGTGAACCTACACACGGATATATACGAAATACCTTGGAACGCGCTTTAACTGGAACTTGGTAAATTTTTTTAAAAAAAAAAAAAAAAAAAAAAAAAATGGCATGTATCGAATTTCTCCTTTTTATCCATCTGTATCATATCATCATTTAGACAAAAACAAATCCCCCCCCCCTTTAATAAATCATGTCATACTCTTTTTAAAAAAAAAAAAATGGAATTTTTCACGATATTTTCTGTTCAATGACATGTGTAAAAAGAAAAATCACGAGCAAATATTTAAAGTTAGATCTAAAATATGAGGCAATTATACAAGGAAAGGTAGCATTATTGAACTTCAATGGTTATCTAAAAATAAAAAAAAGAGTTGAAAAGTCTCTTTTTTTTCCCGCCCCTTGTGTTACTGATTTATTATAACTAAAACTCTGTCATTTTTATTCTGTTATCTTCAATCTGTATTGTGGAAAGTTTAACATGAACATTTTAGATAAATACATGTATATATAACTAACAGGTCATCTGCAAGATGATATGACATTTGCATCCTTTTTTTTAAAGAAAAATAAATAAATACATAGTGTCATCAAACAGCTTTTTATGAGATTCTCTTTATTGTTTTATTATTACACGTGAGCTTATGCATCCCTCCCCCAACTGATAACAAACGTTTATTTATAAACGTCAAAAATAAAAGGGGGCAATCCGTGACAGACCGATCCAATGGCGCAGGTGGTGCAGCAAAATCATGACGTAATAATTTTTATATTAGGGGGTGCGTGGCGCCTCAGAGCTTAGTTCAAATACGTCATGTGCGTGGTGGGGGAGACGATTATGTAATTTTACACTCAGGTCTTTCTTGGGCTTCCAGGGCGACAGCCAAAAGTGTACGTAGTCATGACGTAAGAGCAGCTTCCTAGCTGTCTTGGAAACCAGAATACACATCAACAATTACGAATCAATGTACTTTAAACAATTTATACCTCTTTTGACAATTCTAAATGGTTACTCTCTCGCCCTCGAGCTCGTTTGATTTTGTGGTATTTGACAAAAATTGATACAATTGAAAAGTATATCTTTATCGGACTAAAATAACTCTGCTGCTATGAAATAATTGATCCTTTTTATATTGCACAACTCTTCTTGGCTTTAATGATGAGTCAACCTTTCTGGTTTTGGAATAGATCTATACTTTGTTTCCCGCCTTGGGTTAAATGAATACGTTAAAATTGTTTCCAGTTAACGTTGTCCCATATCAGAAGATTGAGAGCACGCATATTCTAACAAATCTTTAGTATTACGAGACACTTATTTATCAGATCATGCAACGGTTACTGTAAAAGATGCATACTTGTTTGTCAAGTGTAATTGGCAGTAGAACATAATAGTTGTAGTTCATCGTTTATTCATGATCTTTGTAATAAATAAAATACAATCCCAAATATAGAGTGTCTTGTCAAGATTTGTATATTTGGTTGTAGAAAATAGGTATCCATTAATTCATACACTATGTATTTCTTTCTACACTTTATCGGCTATATAATTTATATCAGTATATAAGTAAATAAAGCATTTATATTGATAGCTATTCTACTCTCTCTCTCTGGGTAGCTAATCCATTAAGAGAACTATTGATATTAAGTTTCTCTTTCTTATAATTTTTGATTTGATCTGAGAAGATTCTCTTCTCGATCGTTGATATCGTAACTCAGTAGTACAGCATTCTGTATCCAACTGTCATTCGTATATCATATTTAGGCCAATCATGCAATTTTAAATATAGAAGTATGTACTCGTAGTGGGAGAAGATGTATAGCAGCATACAAGCATATAATGATTATGCAGCATCAAAGGTTGTTTTAATTTCATAGTTTATTTATATAAACGATTTGCTTAATTATTCTTAAGTGAATCGTACGCAAATACGACAGATTTAAATCTAAATTACGCAGAAATATATTAGGGTAAAGTCCAAAAGAAAAGTCAAAAGTAAAATAGAACACATGTAGATAGGCTCATCATATATCAATTGTGATAATTTTGCATCAAGTTTCAAGACAAAAAGTTATATTGACCTCTTAGTGTCAGCTAAGGTCTCATCATCCGTTATGACGACTACGCACACCCTAGCCGTCCCTAAGAGACCCGATACAATTACAACTTCAGTTTCTTTCTCGCAAATGACTTCCCACGCACATCCAATTGAAATTATTACGTGAAAGCTGCTTTAAATGAATGGGTAGGCACCTCTAGAACTTTCCTTTGGAACTATAAGTATTTCATACATATGTTCATTGATCATGTTACGTATCAGCCTCATCTTTTTTATTTATCTTTTTGTATTTTTTGCTTTGTTAGTAAGTGTCTTTCAGATCGTTTCCCCTTGTAACCATTTCAAGTTGAGCTATAAATCCATGAAAAGTTACCCCGCTTTTACAGTATAACAATGTAGATCTGTCAGACTTTTGCTTCAATTGACAACACAAAGCGATATTTTCATTAAAACACCATCTGTTTAATAGACATACTTTTTCTAAAATTATTTCATTTCAACTTAAAATTACGAAATGAACATCCATGTCTACTAATAATGTGGGGTACTTCATAGCTGGCAATGCTTATAAATATTGTGATACTTGACAAATGTAAGTATTAGTCCGATGAGAACACATAGTTTTTGATATCTTATAATGAAAGGGTCCCTGTCTTTTTTTTTTAAAAAAAAAACACACGGGGGAAGAGAGAGACTTTAAAGTCGAAGCAAAATTTTGAAATTTCGTGTAGACATTGTTTAATTTTCAGAACAATTACAATTTTATAGCACTTTTAAATAGAACCTATAAAAGGCGGGAACAGTAACTGTGCTTTAACTTGTATTGTTACAGCGTCATACGTTTCACAGATGTTTGTACACAAGAACCCCCAAACACGGAATACTACTTGGCTATTGACATTTGGATAAAATCATTTAGGCCAAACAAATAAATAAGGCATAATTGATAAATAGAGCCAAAATAAAAGCGCTGCCACTTCAGTTGAAATGAATTTTTTTTTTTTTTTTTAAAAAAAAAAAAATCTGTCGGTTTGCGTCTTATGGTTTGAGGTACCACAATATTCCAAAAATTGGACTGACGTGGCGAAGCTTGTTGTATACATGAGTTGGTACTTATTAGTTGTTGTATCTATAAAGTATACCAGTAATTGTTGTAATAATTGGCCAATGGCTATTAGTCTAAATAAGTAAACTCGTAACGATCCATTTTTAATACACTTCAATTGTATTCATGACTCTTTTTCCTGTATTTTGCTTTCGTTATTTCTGGGCTTTTTTTTTTAAGAAAAAAGATTGTACAATTGTTACACCTCTAATCATTTGATTAACTATAAATACCACGAGAAAAGAGATAGGGATTTGATCTTGATTTGCTTTTTCAACACTCAAATGAAGCCCTCTCTTACAGCTACTTTTTTGATCTTAGCAACCGCACATACTGCTATAGCCCAAGTAGTCCAAGCTAGATCTGAATCTTGTAAGAGAATAAACAGTGAAACATACGTTTGATGAAAGTACTAATAATACTGATGTCTGCTACTTTTAATTCAATAGCATGTGCACTCTTGTCTAAAAAAATATATTGTTATGGAGGCTTAACAGATGCCGAGGGAGACATTGCAGACGTCAGTATGGTTATGCTCGATGTCTTCAATAACAGCGGAAGCACAGCAGACGAAATGAAAGATAGATGGACTACAATCACCACGAATACCAATGGTGTAAAGTTAAATTCCAGAGAAGCCCCTCAAATTATGCAGCTAGATGACAAAACCCTTTTGTTGAGTGGTGGTTACAATAAAGATTATACCAAATTAACGTCTCAAACGGTCACTTACAACTCGGAAACAAATTCCTGGAAAGAGTATGCAGATTATATAGAAACACCTTACGGAAACAGACAAATGTAAGAATCTTCCTCACCTTCCCTTTCCCCTTCCAAAAAAAAAAGAGGGGGGGGGGAAGTGTATACAGTTCTGAAAATTAGTGTGGCTCATTGTATACTTTTATAGCTACTTTGCATCTTCAGCCCATGTCCCTAATCTCGGTGTGGGATTCTATGGTGGATTGGAGACGTAAAAAAAAAAATTAGTGTACAAGTATAGATCCTTTACTAATATCAATTGGTATTAGCAACTATGACGGCAACTGGACCTATCCCGGTATAAATTTAACTGCTTATGAAGATGAAGGAAAAAGATTGAGATATATTGGTTATACCAACTTGACTTTTTTGGACGTCGGAAAACCTACAAACGTAAGTTTTTTTTTTTTTTTTTTTTTTTTTTTTTTTTTTTTTTTTTTTTTTTTATGATCAACATACATCTTTATTTACAAAGAAAAGCATACAATTAGCCATGGTCAGCCTACCCCATACAAACCAATACCCCGACTTTATTTCACTCGCGCCAAACATCGGTATTTGATGCCAAAAGTAACCGTATCTTCTTTTTTGGTGGACGCTACTCAGACCCTGTCACGTATAATTATGTAGAAAACACTTTTGAAAACTCTATCACGTTTGACCTAACGAAAGGAGCTTGGGGATCTCAAGCTTTATCTGGAATTAAACCAAACCCAAGATACAGTCATACAACTACTTTAGGTGAGCTATTTTTGTTTTTTTTACTTTAAAATCACGATACTCATAAATTTAATATAGTGGGTCCCGATCAAAGAGATGTTTTATTGTATGGAGGACAGAGTGATCTCAATAATGACCGAGGTAACAAAATCCTATTTAAATATTATGTTTACAATCAAGTTAACCAAAAAAAAAAAGCTGTCCTTGATTATTGCTATGTTTTGAATCTTGACACATATGAGTGGAAACAGCAAAGCTTTATTGCAAGTAATGTGCTTTTAATCAGAACTGAACATTCAGGTATGCATAGGATTTTGTCAACACAGTTTTTCGTTGATTGTATTTAACAATGATGCGATTTTTTCTTTAGCTGTTGCTATCAACAACGAAACATTATTTATTGTTTTCGGTAAAGATACCGCCAGCGTACCTACTTTATCAGTGCTTATGCTAGACGTTAAAAATCCGTCCAATGTTACTTTGATGGAAAAATATGTTGATCCTACCGCCGTTGTAGTTCCACCAGTTGCTAATTCAACAACAACCCCTATTCCAGAAAATGAAAGCAAGTTGAGTACCGGAGCAACTGCTGGTATTGCTGTTGGAGCTAGTGCGGCAGTAAGTAAACCAGATAGTCGAGAGAACGACATGTATGTACACGTAAATAGATACTGAACTTATCATGCGATAGGGTATTCTTGCTATTGCTGCTATTGTCTTTTGCGTTTTAAAAAAGAGAAAGAACAAAAAAGAACAGCAAGTAACCAATGAATCAGAACCTAATCAAAAAGAAAACATTGAGGAGCCTGTCATGGAAGTCAACTGGGATGAAATTGATAAAAAATACGTCGAAGTAGCCACCAGCCCTATCTCTGATTATGGACATGGCAATCACTTTAGCTACTCTCCTCGATTAGCTGATGACTTGGTATCGTTTAATGATGGCAGTACCGTTATCCAATCTGTAGGTAGCCCCGTTATTCAATCTGTAGGTAGCCCCGTTACCAATCGGAATTCAATCACCCATCAACGTCCAAATGCTTTGGATGATAATGATAGGACTTCAAATATTGGAAGCTATACTATGGCTCTACAAAAACCAGATGGTGCATAAATTTTCACTAATGTAATACTCTTAATTTTACACGCATCACCAATTACTTACAAGTCAATCCAAGTGTCGAATAAATTCTACTAGAATTTTTTGAGACACTGATTATGCTACATATCTTCTGTTCTTGAAGTTAGCAAAAAAAAAAAAAAAATACTGATAAAATCAAACTAATACCATAATACAATTAATAAGTAAAAATAAATATTGGGGCATTTTTTTAAGTGTGTTTGCATCTTAATAAAATTATTTAGTACAATAGACACAGGTCATAGGGTTTACCAAAGATTTGGTTATTTCCTATTTCCTTATTGGTAATTCCGGCATGTGTTCGCTGATCAATTTCTGTCGCATACTCATCTTGTTGTACTCATCGTTTTTGCCTTGTTCGGTGTAAGATAATCTTTTACTCAGATTTGCATCCCTTTGCAAAATATTCTTCTGTATTGGTCCTCCGCTATCCTTTTGTTATAGTGTCATTTTTATGACTCAATCGAATTTCGTATGCTTGTGCTTAGCAACCAATTCAAATTAAGCTGTGGCCCCATAAAAATGATATCAGATTTAAGGCGTAGCAGCGGAGATGGGTTGGGCATTCGTTTCTGTCGATGGCCATATTGGCATGTTCATTCAATACCGTTTGATTAACAAGTATACCTTTATTGATAAATTTTTTTTTATTACGACGCACAGTTAATAAATGAGCATGCATGTCTGTTATACTTTAAGGTATTTCATTGTTGGTAAATATGATTACTGTGATACTCGACAAATAATGTGCTAGTCCGAGTTACACGTAATTTTCGATCTTTATGACCGAGTCTATTAAAAAAAAAAAAGAGCATGTCAAAGCCTAAGCCATACTCGCATATATCGCCATTCAGCAATAAATAGCCATATCATGATTATATATCTGTCATTAAATTTCCAAACCAATTACAATGATATCGGATTATTGAATCAATGAGGGGAACAACTACCGTACTTTTTTATAACTTCTTAAAACGGTACAGCGTCATACGTTTCACAAACGTGGGTGAGCGTTTATATTCGGGAATCACAAATAGAAGTAACTAGATCACTATTACTACTTGAGCAGGTCATAGGGCAAACAAATAAAAAAAAATTGTGTTCGTGGCATAAGACAAAGTAAAAGAATTGCCACTTTACTTGAGATGAAATAATGATAATAATAAAAAAAAAAAAGGCTGTTTGTTTATACCTTATGATCCCAGGTGTCACGATATCCCAAAAAAAATGTTTCCAATAATTGGATGGACATGGCGAAGTTTTTAAGAAAATTAAGTGGAAATATTGTTCCGATATGAAATCACATATATAACGTATAATCGCCACAGTAACAGGCTAATGTGTAGTAGTTTAAAAAAAAATTGATCCCATTCAACAAGTCTTACTGCACTCCAACCAGATTTTCTACTAGCCCTTCATCTTTATTTTCTATTTTTTAAAGTATAGTAAACTTTGTACACATGTTACACGTCTAATCAATTTAACAGCTATAAATACCACGAGAAGAAAGAAAGGAGAAATCCAACCTTGATTTTGTTTTCTTATCATTCATATGAAGCCTTCCCTTACAGCTACTTTTTTGATTCTAGCAGCTGCAAATAATGCTTTAGCCCAAGTTGTGCAAGCTAGACATGATTCATGTAAATTAAAAGTGCCCACATCATTAACAATAACTAAAATACGTTTATTATTTTAATTCAATAGCTTGCGCCTTCTTATCTAAAAAGATATATTGTTATGGAGGTTTAACAGATGCCGATGGAACCATCTCGGACGTCAGTATAGTTATGCTTGATGTCTTCAATAGCAGCGGAAGTACAGCAGACGAAATGATGAACAGATGGGTCACAGTTACCACCAATACCAATGGCGTGGATTTGAAGGCTAGAGATTTCCCTCAAATTATGCAAATGCCAGATGATAAGACCCTTTTAATCAGTGGTGGTTGGAACAATGCCTATACCAAATTGACTTCTCAAACAATCACGTACAACTCAGAAACGAATTCCTGGAAAAACTACGCAAATTACACAGAGGCTCCCTATGGAAACAGACAGATGTGAGAATCTCCTTTTTTTAAGTTTTTTTTTTTTTTTTTTTTAAAAAAAAAAAGGGCGTATACATCTTTTAAATTTAAGCTGACTCATTGTGAACTTTTGTAGTTGCCAAGCATCTTCAGTTTATGTTCCCAATCTCGGTGTAGGGTTTTACGGTGGAATTGAGACGTAAAATTACGAGTGCCCTTAAAAAAATTGTTTTTATTGACATCGATTTAAATAGCAATTTCGAGAATACCTGGACTTACCCAGGCATAAATGTTACTGCATACGAAGAGGATAATTTGAGATATATCGGTTATACAAACTTGACTTTTTTGAACATCGAAAACACTTCAAACGTAAGTCATCTTCTTTTTAAATACCAGACATCCTTACTCATAAAGTTTTATAACTAGCCATGGTCAACCTATCCCGTACAAACTAACATACCCACTTTATTCTACATGTACCAAACGTCGGTATTTGATGCTAAAAGTAACCGTATCTTCTTCTTTGGTGGGGGTTACTCTAACCCTACCACGTATTATTACGAAGATAGTAGTTTTGCTAGCTCTGTCACATTCGATCTCACAAAGGGTGCGTGGGGAACTCAAGCTATGTCTGGAGATAGCCCAAGTCCAAGAAGCGGCCACACAACTAATTTAGGTGAGTCCACATGTATAATTTGCTTCTTTAACATTCGATGCTTATAATATAATGTAGTTGGTCCAAATCAAAGAGATGTTTTATTGTATGGAGGAGAAAGTCTTCTCAATAATGATCGAGGTAAAAAAAAAAAAAAAAAAAATAGAATTTCAAAAATATGTTGGAAGACCAAACTAAAAAAAAAAGAAAAAAAAAGCTCTCCTTGATTATTGCTTTGTTTTAAATCTTGACACATTCCAATGGAAACAACAAAACTTTGTTGGAAGTAATGCTGCTTTGATCAGAACACAACATTCAGGTAAAAGAATTAATCAAGTCCATAGCTAATGCCAAATTTACTTATCCAACTTTCTGTTTTTTTAGCTGTTGCTATCAACAACGAAACATTATTTATTGTTTTCGGTAAAGACACCGCCAACGTTCCTACCTTATCAGTACTTATGTTGGACGTTACAAATCCGTCCAACATTACTTTGATGGAAAAATATGTTGATCCTACCGCCGTTGTTGTTCCACCAGTTGCTAATTCAACAACAACCCCTATTCCAGAAAATGAAAGCAAGTTGAGTACCGGAGCAACTGCTGGTATTGCCGTCGGAGCCAGTGCAGCAGTAAGTCAATTGGATAATAAAGACAACAACAGTTATATATGTATGTATGTAAATGTATTCTAAACTTAATGTGATAGGGTATCCTTGCTATTGCTGCCATCGTCTTTTGTGTTTTAAGAAAGAGAAAAAACGAAAAAAAGCAGCAAGAAATCAACGAGTCAGAAATTAGCAAAAAAGAAAACTTTGAGGAACCCGTTATGGAAGTCAACTGGGATGAAATTGATAAGAAATACGTCGAAGTGGCCACCAGTCCTATCGCTGATTATGGACATGGCAATCACTTTAGCTACTCTCCTCGATTAGCTGATGACTTGGCATCGTTTAATGATGGCAGTACCGTTATCCAATCTGTAGGTAGCCCCGTTATTCAATCTGTAGGTAGCCCCGTTACCAATCGGAATTCAATCACCCATCAACGTCCAAATGCTTTGGATGATAATGATAGGACTTCAAATATTGGAAGCTATACTATGGCTTTACAAAAACCAGATGGTGCATAAATTTTCATCAATGTAGTACCCGACCTTTTACATGCACTGTGACATATACTCTGATTAACAATCGAGCATCTCTACTAGTATTTACACTCTCAATAATTCTAATTACATTTCCAATATTTTCAATAAAAACAACAGCTTTTATAAAAATAAAAATTTGTTAATAAGTTTAAGGTTGTTGAACTATCTTTACTTCACAAACTTCAGTCTTCCATATTTTGTCGTACTTGATAAACCTTGTGGCGCTACACAATAATTTATCATAAACAACCAATTACGTCAATGAGAGGACGCCCATAATTATTCATGTAGCTCAAATACAGGACGTATATACCTTTAGTAGAAGGCAACTATTGCAAAGTATTAAAACATCGCTAGAACGTTGTGATTATACAGTAGGCATCAAGGATGCGTATGAAGATGTATCCAAACTATAAATACAGACAGCTGGTTTTTTTTTTCAAACAATGTTGCTAAATGTTTTCAAATAGTTCTCTCGTGTTATTTTTTTTTTCAAACACGAGCATGTAATTTATTATATTTTGAGTGTTAAGAGATCATTCTAGCCCATAGCAAGTCAGCTTTATATTGAAAATAGTTTATAATCTTTTATTTCGGTTTTCATTACAATTATAGTAATTCATACTGAGTAGTGGGGGATATAGTTATGCTTTTGATCCCGCTAGTTATTAATTGATTCGTAAACAAACAACTTGGGATGTTTTTTTCTTTTGTTATTGATCAATTGCCTATCTCAATTAAAGGGCTATGCTATTAAAGAACTTACCAAAGGCATAAAACGAACTACTTGTCGTTATGACCCGAAGACGGGGATGTCTTTTTAAGAAGTATTAAGCCACTGTATTACATAAATGGAAACAGAAATCCGCCCAAGCTCTTGGATCTTATGCATTGCCATTTAGACTTAAAAAATGCCTTTTCGATCAGAATGGCGATGTAATATGACCAGTATTTTGAGTTTCGGTTATCCGACCAGATAAAGATGATGTTACTCCCTGTGTTAAATACCAAAAAAAAAAAAAAAAAAAAAAAAAAAAAAAAAAAAAAAAAAAAAAAAAAAAAAAAAAAAAACGATACTCCTTGTGCAGTAAGTGAAAGATCTGTCCATATACATATTACAGACATTTTAGAATATTAATGATTATGTACCCTTCTCCGACTTTGAATTTCCAAGTCTAAACTGTTATTCAATAATCTCAAGTGACGTTACGACTAATCGTGGTACAGGTATCTGAAATTAAATCTCATCTGGTTGAATATGCTGGAAAGAAAGAGTATTGCTTTTTCCAGGGGGAGCTCAAAATTAAGGTTTTTTAATTAAAAAAAGGTCTTCTATACATGTAAATAAAAGAACAAGAGAGAAGGAAGCCATAAGATCTACGTATTATTGAATTAGGTTATACGGGGAGAAAGGCGAGCCAGCTCCGGTTATGATCATGAGCCCCTTAGACCTGTTTTCCTATTACTTCCCGATATATCAAATCTTACTGTTTTTTATTTATGTCCAAACACTCTTTTTCTTTATACTTTACGTGACATGTTTGTGTAATCGGTTCTTTCCCGAGAATAGTACGACCAGTGTCCGGAAAAGTAGTTATATAAAGAAAAAGCTTATTTTATTGTATTACCTTTTAGCTGCAAAAAATTGCATGATGTATTTTGTTGTCTGCAAGTAGGAAATCTTTATAAAAATAGGCTTGTGCGGATAAATAATAGTAAACCGAATTAACCTATTTAAGATGCTTTGTGTAAAGACTGAAAAGAAGGGGTAGTGAAAAGTAATTTATATTTGTAAAATGTATACTGCATGTTTATTATTTGTTGTTGTATTTTCTCTTTAATGCATGGATACAAATTCAAGCAGAAAAGAGAGATCAATAAGTTTCTATTATTATTGAATAAATTTTGTGTTTTTTTGTAGCTTAAGAATGTCATGCATAAAAAAACATCCATGAAAAGGAAGGGTATCTACATGAATGATGAGTTTTCTTTATCCATAATATTAAAAAGTGCAGCCTGAGCTGACAATCCCCAATCCGAATAAACATCTTCTCCTCGTCTTACGTCGAGGTCATCAGGATGCAAAGTTGTTGCTGCGTGTGTGACATTTGACATTGCAACAGGAAGTGGTGGTGGTGATAATGTAGGTGATATATTGTCATCTTTTAACTGATGACTTCTTTCATGTTTGCGTAACGATCTAAGATGATAATACGCTTTACTACAGTCTATATTATTGCAAAGGTATGGTCTAATATTTGAATGGATCTTGGCATGCGTAGTTAAGGAATCAGGTCTAGAGAACTTTTTTCCGCAGTCTATGATGTGTTAATGATTGTGACAATTTAATTTGTTTATTACATTAGTACCTGGTTCTAAACAAACAAATGGCCTTTCCCCTGTGTGGGTACGAAGATGATTATGCATTTTATGTCTCTTCGTGAAAGGCTTTTGTTTACGAGCACAATCTTTCCAACAGCAATAATAGTTTGCCTATTTGTTTTTCGTGCCTTAATTTCCTTGTGATACTTTTTTTTTATTTTTTTTTTGTACATACCTTTCCACTCCCAATGTGATCCGTTTTGACGTGATTTATCAAATCATCCAGGGAATTTAACTCCAGTGTACAACTGTCCCACTTACAAAACTGAGGATCTTCCTCTTCTTCTTCATCTTCTTCCATCTCTGTGTCAGTATGTGAAGCAGATCTAACTTTATTTGCTTGGAACACTGTTGAAGAAGCCACAGTAGCTGAAATATTTGGTACACCGCTTTCATCTGGTATCACTAAAATGTAAGAAAAGAAAAGAAGTGAGATGATGTTACAATAAGCAGAGTGCGTATATAAAATAAGATATATTGTCTTGTGTGTGCATATCTTATTTGGTATGGGTTGTTAATTACCTTCTTTTTTCATTTTGGCTATAGTATTTTGTGTTACTGATGCTTCTTTTTCCTTTTCTAGTTCCATCACTCTTTCCAACAACTGTTCGTGGGTCCATAATTCCAGCTTTGCAGAGAGTGGTTCAAATGAAGCCATGTCAGGAATTGGAGGCGGAGATGTTGAGGAATTAGTAGAAAATATATCCAGTTTTCCCAAAGAACGGTGTCGTTTGGCCTTTAAAGAGGATTTGCGAGATTTCGTAATTGCTGGTTGTTGTGAGACATTAAGCTCAGACTTGTTTTCGATCATAGGTTCTTTTCCTTTGTTTACAATAATATTTGTTGCATAAGGTGTTGACACAGTATGTCTTCTAGGTAATGGGCGTCTACCTTTTCTATCAATATACAATTGTTGTTGTTGTTGCTGCTGCTGGTGGTGATGGTGGTTATGAATCATCGTGTCGTCACTTATACCACCATTGTACACCATATTATGTGGATTATAGTGATGGCTCATACCAATATTTGTTGGTACTATTGGTGCTTCAGCATAAATATTATTGTCTACTATATTATCATTTACTAAAAGGTGGTGGTAGGGCGTAGCAGTTGGTGTGACAAAAGTATCCTAAAATACAAGTTTTTTTGGGTTTTTTAATATTACTATATATTATATTTAAGTTATTGATTTAATACCATTGGTTGAGTTGGACTGAGCATATGTGAGGGCGAGGTCGGAGACATCATCATTGCTGACGAATTAGTAGTGATCGAATTAGCAGAAGGCGAGTAAATTGTATTGGGGAACATACTATCCATTGTTGTTGAATTAAAATAATCATCAATTTCCATAGAACTTAAATTATTCATGATATTTGTTGTTGTAGTATCAAGCATAGGTAAATAGTTTGTTTGTTGTGGATAGCCGTTCAATGGGGGAGAGTACATTACTGTAGATGGATTGTGACTTTTAACTACTGGTGTTGCGGTAATATGAGGTTGCTGGTTTGCATAATGTATATAATTGTTGTTGTTTATGTTGTTGTTGTTGTTGTTGTTGTTGTTGTTGTTATTATTATTATTAATGTTATTATTATTGTAATAATCATTCATCATGGTTGGTGTGGACTAAATATAGACCATAATTATGTATTTTAATTTAATATAATGATGTATGCAATTAACTTACAAAAGGAATCTCAGTCGAATACAGTGCCACGGGTAGCATCATTTGATTCACTGTTGTCATGGCCACAAACGAGGCATTCTCGCTGTCATTATTAGCCATTGTTGATGTATATTTGTTGTCTTCCATAATGCTTTTATTTGTGTGTGTCTTTTTTTATTCTCTTGTACGTAGTAGTTTTCGGTTCTTATATTATGCCCTTAAAATGTTTTTGATAAAATGTATGTGTATGCTTATTGACAGGTATTTTAATTATTCGAAGTGTGTATAATTAAACAAAAATTTGTATCTGTCTACATCGGTTGAAAAATAAGTTGTTTAGATCAAACAAGTTATGAATCAGGTTTCAATTCGCGGATAACACTTACGTTTTAAATTAGAAAACTTTTCGAAAATTCATATAAACGAAAGCAAATATAAAGAGGAAATAAAAAAAGATATAAAAAAAAAAAAAAAAAATCGAAGTGAGAAACGAAAAAGAAGTAAGAAAGGGGGAAAATAAAATAAAAAAAAAAAAAAGGGAAAAGAAAAAAAGAAAAAGGATAATGATACACAAAAAGATAAAAATATCGAAAAAAAGTGGTTGTGCCAAATCTGTGTGTTTAAACACAGACTATTTTTACTAATTCTTTAAAAAGGTGATTCTTAGGCAAGCCAACCTATCAGAAAAAATTAGTATGATTTAACACTCTCGACTAAAGTTATACTACTTACTACATTCCAATAATCACCGTGAATAGATTCTACGAATATAGAAGCATCGCCTTGAATACCATATCCACCAGCTTTATCAAATGGTTCTCCTGAATCAACGTCTATAGAAGTGTTACATATCATGTTGCACAAAAAAATGTTACAACCTACAAGCATTCATTGTTTCAGCATCAAGTTCAGAAAATTTTACATCTGTTTTCTCTACAAATTGACACCTTTCAACCTTGCCTTCCTTTGTCTTATAAATAATCTGAACACCTGTGAGTACATAATGTGTTTGTCCGCTTAACTGTTCTAGCATAGATAAAGCATGCTTTCTATCTCTGGGCTTTTCAAGAACGTGTTCATCTTTTACTACAACAGTATCGGCTCCAATGACGATATCAGCATTAGGAAGTAAAGGATCTTCCTGTAAAAGGGGTAAATATTGATGCAGTCTTATAATGAAATATGCAAATCATTTTACCTCACAGCGACCAAAAACCTCCTTTGCCTTCATGAGAGCCGTATCTGCTACATAATCAGCTCTGGTTTTGTAGGCAGTTGGGTCATTTTCATCAGGTGCTAAAGTAGTTACAACTGAAAATTTTAAACCCTTTTTTCATAAAATTCGTGTCAATAGAAGGTACGACTACCAGATATATCAACGTACCATTGATTCCAGAATTTCCCGTCTTCTCGGTGAAGCAGAAGCGAGGACAATCGTCTTATTTTTTAAAAGCTTTAATACGGGTAACTCCAAGGGCATGGTAAAAGTTGGTCTTATGCACAAGAGAAATAAAATGGCAATGAAAAAAATATTTTGCATGCAGTTTTGCCGGAGTATCAACTAACTATCAGACGTCATCAAAGATGGTGAAATTGATGGGTATAGGCCACCAGTGAGCCAAAAAAAAAAGCCGCCTTAACAAAACTGTTGTGTTTTTTTTACCCCGCCTTTTTCCTTGAACTGTACATTTAACACCACCCCCACTCTTCCCACACCATAAATATGGTAAAATAGATAGCCGACATTTACAAATTACACAACATTAATACCAAATTTATAATAGCCTGTACCTTTCGAGTCATTGCTTCCCTTTGCAATTATTGCCGGCATGTACGTTGTCACCGCAACTGGTTTGAACGTCACCAGATATTACTCTAACGACAAAAAGGTAATCGTCAGCTTGTTTTGACCTGTCAAGAAATTCCCTTGTTGAAATAAATCTAATGTTTGTAAAAATTTATAGCCTGGAAGATACGGCCTTGATCTTTGGGAGAACCAAATGATGGAGCGTGACAGACGTTTAACTGGATCAAAGAGAGGACAATCTGTAATTGAATAAAACGCAAATGTGGAAAATTAGAGAAAACGACTAACATTTCAACTATTAGGATTCTCCTATTGCACCAGCAGGATTTGCCACCAACAGGTAAAATATGCACCCCTGTGTTTTAATTCCTTTTGTATTAACATATTCTTTCAACTCGTTATAGTATTTGGTATTTGGAAAAGCAAAGAAACCATTAAAAAACAACAACCAGTTCGATCATTGAATGGATATATTATTCTTAACATAATCAAATAAAACAAAAGAAATGATGATTTATTTTTTATTAGGATTAGTATAATGAAGACGAGAGAAATGGTATGCTGTGAGGATCAAACCAGCAATAGTGTGGGGCGAGTGCTTTGGGGAATATTGTTATATTTACACGTATATTTAAAAGGAATCTATATTATCAAAATCATGTAATTCTATAACCGTATGATGTGATGCAGTATGAGTATTTTCTAGAACTTGCTGATCTCTTTGCAAAATAACTACAGCTTTTGTGTCATTTAACTGAATCTTCCATACAGTACGAGCAGCTGCGGTAAACGATCGGATAAGTGTACCTGTTTCAATATTCCATAGCTTCACTTTACCATCAGAACCACCGCTCACGATACGCTTATCATCACATTGAATACAAGTGACAGAATTATCATGAGCAGAAATTCTATGTTTACATTCATATGTTTCCATATCCCAAACTCGAAGACAACCATCAGATCCACCGCTAACAAGTAAATTGTTTGACAATTGTAAATGACCCACAAGAGAGGTGTGTCCTTGTAATGTCGCCAAGCAATCGCCTGTTTGAGGGCACCAAATTCTGATATTTGAATCGAGTGAACCAGTAACTACTTTATTACCATTATAGGCAATAGCGTATATCTGAGAATGATGGCCAATAAATTCATGTAGACATTCACCCGTGTCAATATCCCAAAGTCTTGCTGTTGTATCATATGACCCAGAAGCGAATTTGTTACCAGAAATATCTAGACATCTCACACTGCTCTGATGACCGCTACATACATGTCTTAACTCGCCTGTTTCTATGTCCCAAATCCGCAATGTTGTATCTCTTGATCCTGTAACAGCAATTTTATTGTCACGTACTTTAAGACAGCGAATGGTGGAAACGTGACCTCTCAAGACAAAGAGTAGTTCGCCAGTTGTAAGGTTCCAGACTCTTGCCACCCTATTGATGTAATTTAATTGGAATTGTTTGTTTTTAATTCTATATGTTTGTGTACCTATCACAGCCTCCAGTGACTAATATATGATGATTATTCTCCTTTTTTATAAATTGTATTGCCCATACACCGCCTTCATGTCCTAACAATGAACGAATATATTTCCCGCTTTTTGAATCAAATACTTCAATATGATTGTTATCACAACCAATAACAATGAAAGTATCATCCATCTGCAAGGAAGTTGCTAAACCATCACCAATTTGATTATCACACATTGTAATTTTACCGCCCTGATTCCAAGCGGTGTCGATATTATACTCGCGGCGAAAGAAATCGCGGTAAGAAATTGTATGCCGGTGATGGTATCTGTTTGCATTGATATTTTGTCGATAATGATGTTTCAAGCATAAGGCTTTCCAAGCTCCTTCGTCTTTTAATAAACTATTCCAATGACTGGAGACATGAGATGCTCTTGCCAAAGTACGTGGGTCATCGATAAACGATAGTACATAAAGTGATAGTTCAATAGGCAATTCTTTTAAAAAATCGATTTTTAGCTTTGGTGTAATAAATGTATAGATATATTGCAACAGTTGGTTATCGCAGCACCCCAGTATTTCTGTCAGAAACAGGTGTCGTTGCTGAAAAGTCAAATGTTGGAAGGTGCTTTTTACTTTACTCATGTAATCTAAACGAACTTTATCCAAGATGGATTCATTGTTTCCTCCTGAATCGACAATGTATGAAGACCGTTGTCTTTGAAGTGGTCTATAAGGTGGAGTGGAAGGTGGCGAAGACATATCCTCTGGCTGTAAGAAAAGGTCCATTTTTTTTGTATTTTATTATTTCTTTTCTTTTGAGAGTTTAAAAGGGGAAATGAGGATTACACACACTGCCTCACTTGCAGAACTCATTTTATCGGCTTTCAAAATGTCGTCATCGACAAAAACAAACACCTTAATTGTAATCTTACGAGAAAAGACGGGTTTTCTGTTTCAATAGTATGTAAAAGAATAATATGTATATTGAAGGAAGATGACCTAAATACCAGCTAAATCAATCTTACTGGATTCTATAAAAACCAACAACTACTCAAAAATATGACATAGATAAACATTCTGCCATCTATCTCAGAGATAGCAATAATGAAGATATAGCATACAAAATATGTTTCATTTTAAAATAGGGCGTTTCTCAATCATTTAGTGACTGGACTTAATTTTAATATTCATTAGCACTGATAATGATTTCCATTTTCATTATCTCACCTGTGGGGCAAGTATTATTATTGTATTGTGTTTTACCCAGCCTTCGCATTCCTCCCGAATTTACCACTTGATAGCTAAAACTTTGATTACTTTTAAGCTGCTTCTTGAGAGGTTCCTGACTATGAAACGGGGTTCTTTGAGGGGATTAAGGCAAATCAAATAAGGTGTTAAATGCACAAAGTTTCACTTGTTGCTTTCTTTAATTATTAAAATCAGAATGTAGTACTGTATTTTTTTTAGTGCATTTATTGAATTGATGAGATGCTACAATATATGGAATAATCTGAAATTGTCCTTAAATGATATAATGGTAACATCTTTGTACAATAAGATTGCTTAAAACATATTCAACTTTGCATGATTTCACTATCAATATCTTCAAGTGATTATCTTGTTAATACAGTATGTTTGAAAAAACAAAACTGTTGTTCTGAAATTCGAAGAGTAAATCAGTTAAAGTGCCATTCAGACCATAAACTTAGTAACCTCTTCAGCACCAAGTATTAAGATGATGTCAATCATAGCACAAGGAGATAGCGGAGACTATTCCTTGGTATTGCAGCTTGAAAATTATTCTATAACAATAACTATAATAGAAGAAATATGAGTTTTTTGAGAAGTATCCCTAGTTCAAAAAGGATGCTGTCATATAGTTGGATAAAATATAGAAAAAGAAGATTGCTAGCGCTATGTTATAATGGTTTGAGGATAAGGTTGAGGCTGTCAACTTTACGATGATAAGCCGTCACGTTAAATCACCGGACTTTTAAGGTATACTCCGTTTCCTATTTTGTACTTTATGCTCATATATAAATACTATCTGATCTTGAAGCTTTCCAGTTTTTTATACTTTTCTTTACTCAAAAGCAACTTCACTTTTCTTTACATCTTATATCAGCACTGGTAAGTTCCTATGTAATTTTTTTTACGGTCTCATTCTAAAAAATGTCCTACTAGTTGGAACCTTTTTTTTAAAAATGAGTAAAGTCACGGATCATCTGGACCATCTAAGTGTTCCCAGATATATGACTGCTTCTCCTTGTATGTTTCTTAAAATGAATGTGAATCCTTCTATATACTTATCACGTTAATTTTAGTACCTTCAGCTCAAATCAATGACAATTCACCGAAGGATATGTGGAGTACTTTTAAAGTAAGATCAAAGTACTATCTACCTATCCTTCAGTGGTTGCCTCTCTATTCTGCTCATTTCTTTTGGGGTGATCTAATCGCTGGTATCACTTTGTCTTGCTTACTAATCCCGCAAGGTCTTTCTTATGCAACAGCTCTTTGTAAACTTGAGGCTATTCACGGTTTGTATTCCATTGCTTTCCCTGCAATCACCTACACTATATTGGGGATGTCAAGGTAAACACTGTATTGTTTATATTTATGTCATATGACCTAACTGCATATGTATGTATTGTCTAGACAAATGTCTGTAGGTCCTGAAGCCACGCTGTCTTTATTGGTAGGCTCTTCTATTGCTCAACTTAATACTGAAGATGGGGATCATGTTGATCCCTTAGCATGGGCTTGTTTGATGACGGTGTTTGTGGGGATATTCACTTTCTTGCTGGGTATTTTCCGTTTGGGTTTTTTAGATAGTTTGATGAGTAGAGCATTATTGCGTGGATTTATTTCCGGTGTTGGTCTTGTGGTTGCGTTACAGCAAGGGATTATATTGTTAGGACTTGTGAAACTTGGTGAAGAGAATGGGCTAACAGAGGCATCTAGCTCGGTCGCTAGGCTAATATTCCTTTTAAAAAACATTCAATATTCCCACGCCTTAACCACATCTGTATCTGTGGTCTCCGTAGCATTTCTAGTAATGGCTCGTGTCACAAAGACCAAATTAGCCAAGTTCAAATGGTTTCAATTGCTTCCCGAAGTTCTTTTGGTCGTTATTATTTCCTCACTCCTTACTTACTTCTTCGATTGGGAAAATAAGGGACTATCGATTTTGGGAAATATCGATAGCAAAGGTATTCCATTGCCTTCTATTCCCTCATTTCCTGAAAGTAAACATATGAAGGATATGTTAATTACTGCTGCAATGATTTCTATAATTGGTTTTGTCGAGTCAGTTGTAATTGCAAAGACTTATTCTAGCAAACACAACTATTCTGTAAGCGCCAATCGTGAATTAGTTGCTTTAGGTGTTGCCAACATTGTAAGTGGGCTTTTTCAAGGAATTCCTGCATTCGGTTCAGTAAGTGGTATAACTTGTCAATATGCATTAATATTGACACGTATATTAATAACCCATTGCCATTTTAGGTTGCCCGTAGTAAAATTAATGATAAGGCCGGAGCACGTACCCAGATGGCATGTCTTATTGCTGGCGTAATTGCTATCCTCGCCATTTTCTTTTTGCTTCCGTATTTTTATTACTTGCCCAAGGCTGTTTTATCTGCCATCATTTTTGTCGCTGTCTTATCCTTGTTGGGAGAATTACCTGAAGATCTTCATTTTATTTTTAGAATCGGGGCCTGGCGTGACCTTGGTTTGCTCTCTGTAACCTTTTTTGCTACAGTAATGGTATCGCTTGAATTTGGCACACTTTTGGCTGTGACTTTATCCCTTCTCCTAACTATCAAAGAAACGAGTTATCCCCGTATATCCATCATGGTAAGAACGACAATAGGAGTAACTTAATATTTATTAAACTGTATATAATAGGGTCGTGTTAAGGGTACCAACGATAAATTCAGACCTATTCAGGATGACCCTAACGTGGTCGAACATCTTGAAGATGTTCTGATCGTTAGAATCGATGAACCCCTTTTTTTCGCGAACACTGGTATGATCTTATACAATTTATGATATTTATAAAGCTGACTTTGCTTTTAATAGGACAATTGAAAGACAGATTGCGTAGACTAGAACAATTTGGTGATATGTCTATTCATCCTTCTGAGGATCCACGTTTAGGAAAATTGTCATACATGATCTTTGATGTGGATAATATGCCAAAAATTGATGCAAGGTAATTAATTGTAATCGCACGATATTTATTTGAGCTAATCTTTCTATATATGAAGTGCTGTGCAGATTCTCTATGAGATCGTAGAGGCTTATCATGCAAGAAATATCAAGGTTTATTTCATAAGACTTAGGGAAGGTCCGATGAGTCTTTTTAGAAAATCTGGTTTGCTTGATGTAGTAGGCCAAAACAATTTGTTTAGAAAAGTTCCTGATGCAATTGAAGCAATCGAAAGGGATATGGCAAATAATGGCACACTTGTATAACAATAACAAATTAATATAGAATGATAATATACCCTTTTTTCATGATATTAATTCACTATAAACTACAACTTATCTCTTTTCAGAAGAGCTTCTTAATGAAAATGTGTAACACCACTGCTGAAAATACAATTAGGGCCACGTATCTTCTTAACAATTTTAGTGCATGCCCTTTTTTACAGATAAAATTGAGAACAAACTTAAAAATGATGCACCATTTAATAAAGCAACTCCTTCGCACTTTGCGTGTAAAACATGGAAAAATGGTCTCAAGTAAGGTTTCAGACATTGTTTCAAGATGGATTAATGCAGAAGACTCAGAATTTTTTTTATATTTAGATTGTAAAAGCTCTTTTATAGCTTACCCACATGTTTTGTTAAAGAGGCTTAAAATTTATTTAAACTGGTAGCGTCCAGGGGGGGGGGGAGATACAAATGAAAATATTCATGTCGATACATTCTGCTGTGTCCCCTAATTTTAGCTCTGCCCACACAGTATTTGAGTGTTGAAATCAGCTCCTTGTAGCAACATATCCAAGTTTCATATCACATATGTCAAAATATGCCTCGAATTCAATTGTGGTAATGCCAATGGAAACAAGCTTTTTGTTTTTTTTTCGGGAGCTCCAACACGTGCCTTAAACCATTGCTCTGAATGGTCAGTAGTAAAAACGTTTTTGGTTTTGATATATCAATAAAAGATGGTCAAGAGATCGATGCATCCAGTTGGTTAGTTTGTTCTTTGCATTCATGCCCATTTCATACGTGGAATTCTCGCGTAAGGCATCCCTTAAATCATCTACATTTTGAACCTATCACAAATAGGGTTTAGAAAGCGTATTTTGCAAAGTGTTGATATGTGGCCTTACTTGTGAATATTTCATGAGATACTTAACTAAGCCAATCTAAATCTGGAAGCTAAATGGGATTAGTGTTGACAATCTCATTTACCTGTTCCTGTGACAGTAGACCTTTCTGAATGTAAATGTGCAGTGCTTAGGACTAAAAATGAAAGAGTGACATAGACTAGGTGTACCAAAGTTAACATCGGACCCATAAGTATCATTTGATTTTCGTTATGATACCTACTGTTTATATTTATAAGTCAATCTAAAACGGAACATGCTTTTGTTTAATGTAAGAATATGCGCTTTCATATACGCCATCACTGAGTATGTGCATCTGATTGTGGTCTATGTATCAATATTTGTTCGTATAATCATGCAGAAATTTGTTATAAGTAATATGGCATGCAATTTCATCCAAGTCCAAAGAAATTGTCCTATCTATAGCTACTTTAAATATCTACAGAAAATAGTTTTTGTTCTTTGCTATTTAACTCTTTGCTTTTGGCCTCTTTGAGGCGTATCAGCTGAAGTAAATAAAAATCTTGGTTAAGAAGGTATCGGGAAGGCAGAAAAATCTTACATTAACGTTTATACAGATGCTAGCGTTACTTTCACTATAAATATACTATAGAAGTTCAAAAATTCAAATGAAAACTTTAAAGACTGAAGTGGAGAAAGGTTTCTGGGGAACATTATTTGGTCCAGGTTTAGTCGATCCTAAGAGGTGAGAAAGTTCTGTTATTTCGAAGTGCTCTAGAGCAAGAATGATAAAAAGTATTCCACGAACTTACGTCTACTTTATCAAAATAGAGTGCTAAATTTTCTGTCGTAACAGTAATGTTACTGTTTTTGCAATAGAGATGTTCCTATTGCTATATATATATGTATATATGTTAAAAGAATTAGAGTATGGAAGGTCGATAATGCTTACGATGAAACTCAATAGTTTACTAGCCTTATTTCTTAAGGATTCTTTTTGGTGACTCTTTAATTTGTAAATTTAGCTGGGCTCATACTATATTCAGCTGAGCTTACAACGTTTAAAAGCAAACATAAATTTGACTTCTCTGTCTTTCAGGTAGGAGACGCTTCATCTTTTTCGATAGCATCGAAAATTCCAATTGTCAAGAGACATCTTTTCAAGATAGGATAACATTATTTTAAAATCTGGGTGTCCTGCTTGGGAGATCTCGATCGTTTAGCAAGGACTAGCTGTAGCTGTAACATTGCAAAATTGAAATACGTCTTTCAATTGAAAAACAAAAAGAGGTAATATTTTAGCGTTTCTTTAAAAAACAAAGTCATCATTAAGTACCCTTTACACAGCATTTATTACTTTCTTTCATCAATATAGTGTTATTCATAAATACAAAAAAAAAGAGAATAGGAAGTAGGATTGGCTCAATGGTTCTATCTTTTGGATTAAAGAAAGGAAAAAGGAAAAAAAAAGTGTGCGAACGAGTTTTATTTATAGACTGATGAACAAAACCTGGTTTACGTCTCAGGATGATTTAACTGTTTATTTAACCACACATAATTTTGAACCAATAATTTCGGGGAATAGTTAGTGTAATGTAGACATCTTCTGATACCTCCTTCAAGTTAATAATAGCAGTCTTATACCGCATCAGTAAGGTTACCCTCAATCAGATGCGAAATCAATCATAAGCCCTCATTACATTCTGTATGTCAACTCAAGTCTGTATGAAAGTATAGAGACCACAATCAAACAGTGTCGCTTATTGAGTTCATCCGTTCTCAATTAAATTACTAGATAGAAAAAGTTGAACACAATCAGACCCTAATACAACCACAATCGTAGAGTCCCCTTCCATATATTAAGAATCAGATACCAAGGAACAAACAGGGGATGCAGACAGGCGATTGTTAGAAAACGTGATAATGATATATAAGCAATGTTAATTTTGTTGAATAATTTTAAATAATCTATGTAACTAGTCAAAGGAAAGTGATGACAAATTAATCTTTATAAAATTAAAACTACTTTTCAATTTTTTCAACTGACCATATCAACCCAAATTTTTTGTGTTTCTCTCCTAATTAGTACATTTAAAATTAATAGTTTATCCGATGTAAGGGTTGGCTACTAAACTTTTTTTCGGTTTTAATCCTTTTAAGGCAATAAACAATTGTCAGGGCAGTAAGGGAGGGTCTTGAGAATACATTGCAAGGCCCAAAATTCTGGAGACACCATGTGGCTCGCCTTACGAAGGCATATATTTTTTTTTTCGAATTCTGTTTTAGGAGCAATCTTTTTGAACTTAACATAATACTTCCTTAAATTACATGCAGTAGGTTCATTATAGCTCACGTTTTAATTTTCGAACGATGAGTATTAGACATATTGAGTCATCCCCCTTGTAACGCTATTTTAGTCTTTATTACGGTAGTAATCCTGGATTGAAATACGTTAAAATGGCAATCAGTCACCATATGTACACTCCTTATGTCACTTTGGGGTTATGTACTTGTAAAACAGCATTAAGAATAAAGAATAAAGAATAAAGATTAAATACCTTTAGATAATATTTTATGAAGCCTCGTATTGTATATTTCGGATTGTAATAGATAGTTTTATTTAACTATCACTTCAATCCTACTCGACTCCTATAATCATTTTCATCTTGTTTTATAAGAAAATTATTTATTTCGGATTCCCTGAGCCCTTCTTTTTCTTGTATGATCAACATTTTCTTACTTTGTTTGTGATATCATTATATTTGTTCTGTTTCACTTAAAAAAACCCTTTGTTGATCACTTCTGTACACAGACAACATTAAACGATCAATATAATTCAATCAATTCCTGCATTTGAACACTTTTCGAACTAAAGATTGTCAATTTCCATCTTCTATTGTTGAAGGTAAGTCATTCTCATGTCTACATACCTGCGCCTTATACTAATCATTTTCAATTACTAAGAATGCACTGTAACTTTTCGTGTCTTGCAGATAGCAAGCTAAGTTTTAGAAAGCCTCGCCCTCAAAATCCCAGACCCCCTCGTCCGACACCACCGCCAGCGCCAGAAAACCTAGCAAACCAATCGCTGATAGCGAAAACGTTAAAAACAATTGTCAAAAAATGCCTAATCTGCTACCAGTAAGCAAAGCTGTCTCTTTTCCATACAATTTAGTTTTTTTCGCACATGCTTATGTTTCTTTGATATGATATAATTTTCCGATCTTTACTGCATATGATCGGATTACAGATACAGTTTGTATCAGAAGACCAACAACCGATATTTATTATGACTATTTTAACACCCTCTCTGCTACTCTCCTTTTGTGCTCATGAATACCTACTCTTTTATTTGTCTATATAGTGCTGTTATGCATTCCCGCCTATGCCTTTTTAAGCTGTGAGATTCCCCTCTTAAACATTTAATATATAAAAAAAGGGCTCATAAAAAATTAAATAAAAAAATTGGCTTATTTTTTTTTATAAATAAACAAATTGCTTGATTCAAGTTTTGAAGACAGATGCGTCAAAAGGGTAGGTTAGAATATACACAAACTAGGCACGGGAAAAAGAGTTCCTTTCTTATTGGATAGACACTTGGAGTCTCTCCACATATTTGCTAAGAGTATGTATACAGAAAAATTTAACTATGAATGGCTACACGGTTTTAAAAGACACAATAAATAAATATTCTAAGAGTTTATTTAATTTTTTTTAATGCTTTTAAAATAGCACGTAATGTCCAAGACAGACCAAGCGACATAGTGCTATAATAACTTGAATGTATACAAGTGCTGATTTCCAATGTAGGTGATAATGCTTGGTCAATTTACAGTGCCAAACCCACAGAGTGGCCCGATGGAACCAAGTCCGACACATTATACACTGCTGCTGTCAGTTCCCCCCAACTGCCGCCAGTACTAATTGAGGTACAACAAACAATCACATTCGAGTTTATCGACAAGCTGATTATGTATTCCTTGTGGGTGAAAAAACAATATCAAGCGAAGCCGATCGTCGTTGTCTTTGGAACGCGAATAACACGTAACGACGTTCGTCGGGACTACTAGGACACCCACAAGGAATACGTAAAACAAACTTCTTCTCAATATTGGGCAAAAGAATGTTTGTTTTTGGAATCCTTTACATTGCGAGAAACATTGAAGACTGTTCCTCTCCCCCCTTTGGCAGCTGTGGCGTATTTTTTAGTTCTAAAAGTCTCTCACTATCAGCTTCAGATTCCAGGGATAATCGCACTATACAAATGTTATACCAGATTGTCAAAGACGAGTCAATGACGAGAGTAAACGCTGACAAATCGACATCTGAAGTTCTACTAAAAGTTTGTTACGATCTTTAAATAATCAATATTGTTATGGGGCGTATTAACAAAAATAAAACAAAAATCCATTTATTTCATGGTCAACTGTTTTCTTCCATAATTTCTGCCATAATTCGCTCAATGAATATGGTGCCACATCCTTTTCATATGTATTAATATTTCTGAATATAAAGATCGATTGTATTAATTATCATTGAAGGTAAACTCTTATCAATCGGTTTTTCATCAGGATGTAATTGATACCGCCCATGAACTGATAGCAAAAGTCTGACATATTACACAACTTACAAGACTCGCTGCACACAATTGGACCGAAATTTTTTGTTTATACAATAAAGCTTGAACTGAGGCTATTAGGGCTAACGCATACATCGAGATTAACTTTAAATTTGCTTTGTATTCGCATCCCGTCTTTAAAAGGACTGCTTTGCCTTTTGATGCTTTTGATATAAGCATCAATAAACAAATTAAAGTTGGGCGTAACCCATTTGCTTTTTCTTTTTTTTTTAATGACTTCCTTGGAGATAAACACAGACATTGCAGAATATGGGGATTTCATTCAAAGAGAACAAGAAGTTGTGGCACATATCGGAGCTGTCAACTTTGAAGGCCTGAATGAGCCGGTTTTGTTGTCGCAAGATCTCAGTGGGGGATGTGGTGGCAAGATTTGGGAATGTGCCGAGATCATAGTGAATTACTTTGTCTGGAAGAATGGGCAAGGTGAGGGGTCACTTTTTAAAGATAAGACTATTATTGAGATAGGCGCTGGAACGGGTTTAGTTGGCTTGGCCGTAGCTAAGATTTGTCCTGACCTTAAACAGCTTATTATCACAGACCAAATGTAATGAGCTGCAAAGAGTAAAACAAACGAGAGGAAACTCCTTTAACATTTCTTACCATTATTTTCAGAGCCATGATGAATTTGATGCAAGAGAACACCAAGTTAAATAATCTCGGTCATCTTGTTAAACCCAAGATTTTAAATTGGTAAATATAATATAACCCTTAACATGTTTCTTGCACTCACAGTTTTGTATAGGGGAGAAGAAATTGACCAAGAGTTTTTGGAGGCAGATGTTATATTAGCATCTGATTGTATCTACATGGAAGAAGCATTTATACCCTTAATTGAAACATTTTTCGCATTGACTACAAACAAGAATGCCATAATTTACTTGATGTATCGTAAAAGACGAAACGCCGATAAAAGATTTTTCCAAATGGCTAAAAAGAAATTCGAATTTACTGATATCATGGACGATCCCAATAGAGATGTGTACACTAGACGAGGATTCCGTCTCTTTGCTGTCAAAAGAAAGGCCACTAAATAAATAAAGAGGTAGTTTTATTAAATTTTGGTTCTAATACATATTTGAAAAGCATCTTAAGATAATTGTTGCGTAGACCTATAATCAAAGCTGCATAAATTAAAGAGCCAGGGCACGAAATATTGAGTAACTTACTTTAAAACGTTTTTAAAGAGTCGCTTAATATCTGGAGAGTGATTCATGGAACATTTGATAAACTCGTGATCACTGAAATGTGGCTCTTTGATTAATTGGATGAATGTAGTTAACAGACCCCAAGGATGAGGTCTATTCACTATTAATCTCTCCAACAAGACCCTACATATCCATAACGTCAATAAAATAGTGGTAATATAGGTTTAATTGTTACCTGGTAATCAATTCCTTAATTAATTCCGTTTGAGTAGAAAATAAGTGCAATAGAGCCATACTGAAGAAATACGTATGGCTATTTGGATATCGCAAATGATCAACGATTGAATTGATCAATAAATATTTCTCGTAACTGGTAGGCATATGGGAGAGCAGATGCTTATATATTTGAATGGCAGGATTATCAGATAGCGGTTTTGTTGTGGCTAACTTTGCTTTGGTTCCAACATAAAATATCAACTGTTGAATTTTTTCCGGGTCAAAGGTGTTTTTATCATCCATAATGTAACTGATGACGCCATTTGTTACAAATGAGGTTGAGTTCCCAATTGCTAAATAATCATCGAGATCCTTCAACTGAAATATATCTTTGCGGTTTTCACCTAATGTATCATAAGTATATTCATCAATGAATAATCGTGGTGGATGAGAAGTGGTAGCCATATAACCCAATGTTGTTGTAAATGGGTCAGGCAAGATCATATCTCTAGGAAAAGAACTTAAGATAACGTTTCGTAATTGGATACAATCCGGCGGTAATAACTGAATAAATGATAGATAATGTTCGCAAAGAAATTCCGGATAGTCATGTAACATCACTACTAAGAAACGCAAGGTCCCTTGATAGAAAGCCTTTTCTGATGGTCCCAATAATCGACGTTGGTGTTGAGATTTTTGTTGTAAAAGTGTTTTTAAGAATGAGAGGTGAGCTGACATAAGTTTAAAGCAGATGGTCCAGCCATTGGGTTGATTTTCCTGTGATAACAATAATGGCAAATAAAGTCGATGAGAGAATAATTGCAACCAGGAAAATGCGAACCCAGAAAAATGACGTGGCTCAAGGGTATACAAAGTGTCGCTGTATAGACGTTAGTTCAAGTTGATACAGGCTAATATACTTTAAAATTACCTGTAAACCGTTATAAAACTGGTATTAGTATTTTTATCATTGCTTGTAGATTGATTCAATTCGATAAATAAGGAACTGAGAAGTTTTAAGAACGGTTTTTGGTTGAACTGTGTATTTAAAGTTTCATGTTGATGAGCCAGCACCAAAACAGCTACGGAAAGGACATGTGTTGCCATTGTAATTTTTGAAGTATAATTGTCCTGAATGCGGATCATGTATCCTACTAATTTTGTGTATGCATCTATTGATTGAGGCCGAGAGGGTTGATACAAGTCGATGCAGATTTCGGTACATAATCTAAAAAAGAAACATAGCCTTTCTGTGTCACATGTTGTAGTTTGAAGGATCTATAATAAGTAGTATTAGTTCTATCTCAACATTTAACATTCATGCACTAAAGCTTACCCGTTCAGCAAATTGGGTGTATATAGCAGTGCTAGTCATACTATGTCTACAAACACGGGTCCATTCTGCAAGTAAGAGTCTCAAGGTAAAAGAATCACTATAAGAATCACAGTTTTTGTAAGATTGAATCATACTGTTTTTTAAATCTTGTATCAGCTCTTCAGCTCTGTAGTAACAGCAAAAAAAAAAAAAAAAAAAAAAAGTTAGCACTGATAAGGCTGCAATCATATTTTATACATTACTTTGGAGACTGTGATCTTTTCAGGGCATTAATTACTAATACATGGTCTTCAATTGATGTAATAGGGTGCATCGTAAGTAAACAATTTTGCAATAGTCCCGTAGTGAAGTCGATTAAATGGGAATCAGGATGTTCCTTATTTAATTGTTTCGCTAATTGAATATCATACTCTTCTAATGGTATTAAACCGAATTTCACAAGAGAAGTAACGATCCAAACATTGTATTTTCGCTTGATATGCTAATGAGTTTGCATGTATGTATATAAGATATCCGTCTTACCTCATCTTCCGAATATAAAATCCAGCTCAAAGTTTCTTTTGATATACTAGGTGATAATTCGATCAAAGTTTGAAGAAATCGACAGTAGACTTCAATAGATAAACCCGTCGTTGATTGGTATAATTGAAAAACGACTTTTTCAACAACAGATCTCAACAGGGTAGTTTGCGCACTTTGGTTAATCAATAAAGGTATCTGTCGCATCACGAGAATAATATCATGATGTGGTGGCAATAAAGAGAATGGCAAATTGCCCGATTGTTTTAAAAGTCGATCTAATTCAATCAACATTTGTTCCACTTTTGTCGAAAATAAGTCGTTTGCTTGAAAACTATTATGAAAACTGAATAGATCTATTGAGTTGGAAAGAGTCAATTTGTTTGTACAATACATTCACTACGATTTAGGTCCTTACTTGAAGGTGTGTTTACTGCTCCATTTGAAACAGCTGGGTGCGTTAAATTAGGTGGCGGTGTCAGCTGTTTTTGTGAAAACATTTCATACAGTTTCATTTTACTTTCATTATTATGTGGTATTGCAGGTGAAGGTGTCATTTTTATTTATTTACAAAAATGAAGAAGGGCCTTAAAGAAAAAATTTTCCACTTATTCCGCTATATGTGTGTGTGTTTATACCTCTGCTGTGCGTGTGTAAAAAAAAATAAAAAATTAACGATTTATTTTTGGGATTATAGGCCAACTCTAAATAGGACCTTGTTCTTCCTTCCTTTTTTCTTTTTATCGGTATTTGATGAAGAAGATTCCTCTGCAGCATCGTCTCTACTTTCTTCACTACTGGTTCCACCCCACGCGTTGTTGATTTGCTGTCCTGATGCAGTTCTACGCATGTTCAGGATCATTTGATGCTTCGGCGTTGTGACAGGTAAAGAAGGGAAGGCTTTTGGTTTTAAAGTAGGGAATTCTTTTCCGGATGTATTAGTATTAGCAGTATTGGATGACCCGCTCCAAGGTGTTTTAGTTGGTGCACGGAATATGTTACTGGGCGAACTAGGTCTGGATGATTGGGGTGATGATCCAGCACTAGATGATCTACTATTCGATGTGGTGGCTAAGGTAGCTGCAGTTGCAACTTTATCCCATACATTTTTCGATTTGGTATTGCCACCAGTAGCACCCACAACTCTATTTGTTGGTTTAGGTCCTTTAATGACTAAAACGCGAGATGCTTTTGGTGGAGGAGGCTTGCTTCTAACATCCAGGGCAGGAAAGTGACTCATCTAAACTTGTAAATTAACATTCTTTGAAGATACTCAAGTCCTTTTCCTTACTTACAGTGGTCTGTTTATTTCTCCAGGTACGAATCAATTCCCACTTTTTGTCCTCGATGTCTAATAAATCCTCAACTCCTTTGAAAATTTTGCTCGAGTTTTCAACGGAGTTATTAGTTAACTTAACGATTTGATTAACGTAATCTTCTCCACTAAGTGTGCTATTCCTATAAGCGCCAGTAAGCGATCTAAATTGTGCTACTTTGTCTTTGCTCTTCAGAATTTCCCCAACTTTGGACAAGAATGATGCATGGCTTGCTACAACCTCGGCAGGCTCAGTGGAGGTGGTTTCTGCATTAGTACTGGTTGAAGTTGAGGGACCAGATGAAAGAGCACCAAATCCAGCCGGTTTCTGCAATGCTTTGCCTTTGCCTTTGCCTTTTTTAGTACTAGCACCAGGTATAGTACGAGGTACAGAAGGCACGGCCTGTTTTACAGAGTTCATGGTTGGAAATTCATTGCTGGAAAGAACAGGAGTCGATGATCCACTTGCAACAGGCGACTTGTTAGTTTTTGTAGTTTCTTCCTTCTTTTTTCCATTATTACTTTTATTTGTATTGTTATTACTGTAATTGTTGTTGGTATTACCGCTGCTGCTGCTGCTGCTGCCACCGCCTCTTTGTGGTTGGTTATTACGGTAAGAGTCATATTGGAAATTCAGTTCCAATTTTCGAGCATCAGACTGCATGGATCTTTGCATACCAGATAACGATTCACCGTGATCTTTTATTTGATGAGCCTTTAAATCAATTGAAGATTCGAATACAACAAACTTTTTTTCAAGACATTGGGGATAAAGACACATGTAATGATCAGACTTGAAATGCTCTTCTAGGCTCTCATAATTGGCATAATATTCCTGTCTATTTCCGTTTCTGACGCAAACATGGCACTGCTCATGCATGTCACGACAATGAACAAATAATTCATCATCACCAAAGAAACGACTCTTACAAAAGGCACATTCTGGATGGCCTGTAAATCCAGTCTCGTCGTTCTTGTTAAAGTCTTTATCGCCTTCTCTGTGATGCTTCGTTAGCTGAGGTGAAGTATACAATGATTGTTCGTAAGGAAAAACCTTTTTATGGCGAGAACATAAATCACTAACAAATGACATATTAGAGGGGTTACATAAGCATTTTGGTATCGCTCTTACCAAAGGTTTAAACTATGCACCTTTCTGGTATGCTGCTTTAATTCTCCCCAATTCTTAAATGACTCCGTACACTCCTTTTGAGGACAATTATATTCTAGCATATTCATTGCTTCCTTATACATCTCCTGTGTCTCAAATCGAATGCCCAATTTCTTATCACTGAAGGGTGTATCATCCAGAGAAAATTCGTTGAACGGTTTCTCTGCTTCCTTTGTGAAAATCACAATTTTTTGTTCCGTCTAATAAGTTTGCGGTTAATATTATTGCCAAAAATGGGAATACGAATTAGAAATAAAAAAATAAAAAAAAATAAAAAAACCTTACTTTACAATAAGCACAATTACGTGTATCGTACAATGCTCTTAAACGTAGAGTACATCGATGACAAGTGCGATGACCGCATTCAGCTACAGCATAAGTTTCCATAGGTTCTGTACAAATATAGCACAATTCCTCTTCATCTTCTGAACTTGAATCGACTTGTTTCTTTGCATCGTTATTATTCTTTCGGGATCTATGACTTTTGTTAACAGTTTTCACTTCCATAGTTGCGAGATTTCTTTGACAAGAAAAAAAAACAAGAAATAGAAAAAGTTTTTTTTTTTTCGTTAAACAAATTGAAACTCCATTCTCTCAACAGAGTTTGCAGTCAAAACATGACAAAATAGATCGACAATTAATTACCTGTGATTGATAGTTTGTTTCGTTTTGAATACATTAACAGTGTACAATATTGATTTAAAAACATACACTATGCCAATTACAGTGCTTCCGCCATCATTTGGACGCATTTTCGAAACGAATCTGAGAAAGGTGACCAATTAAATCATTATCCATTAACCAAATATCCATCACTTGTGCGGCTGACAATATTTTGCGCCCTCTTTGGCAATCGAACGGCTGACATAATTTGATTAGGTAACCACATAATACAATGCTTCCATAAGCTGCAGCTTTGTCACAAGAACTCCTCTCTATTTTCGCCATGATAACATGGCCGCCGTATCTCTCCCTCTTATCTTGTTAAGCTGCAGCCTTAATTATATGTTTTAAGATGTCGCAACTTTTAAACTATTCTGAACCCATAAACACCGTTGTCCATGAAAATGTCTAGATAATTATGCGGTTTAGAAAGATGTTGTTTGTTTATTTTAAAAATATGCCATTCGTCCCCTTAATCTAGTCCTGGGAGTTTGTTACTTCCAGCCCAGACATTTGGAGGTTGTCTTTTGGCATTATAAGCTATCAAACTATGACAGTTATGATTATTAATTTCTTAACAATCTCTGTCATTTTGAATTGATCAATACTTAATAACAGATTACATAAACCAAGTTTGTTTTGTTTAGCCGTAAATTCTACTTTCAGTATGATAGCTTGGCAGTAGACAGCATGTACAACATAAGTCATAAATATTAAACTACGTCTGTGTCACAGTCGATATCCATGAATTCTACATATGTCTTTGTGGAAGTTTTTGGCACTAATCATTATCTAAATTTCGAATTAAGAATGTACATTGTGCAGCTCATTAAGTAGCTACTTTTTTATGTATTTAAATGTTATTCATCTTGATGGATTTTATTTTTACACTTGTCGTTTATGAAATATTAAATTAAAAAAAAAAAAAAAAAAAAAAAAAAGTAAGCAGTAATAATAATATGGTATAGGATATATAAATAAAATTGTAGGGGTAAATAAAGAGATGCAATAGCAATAGGTTTTTGATTAAGGTAATAGATCATTAACTTGAATGATCAAGAATTCAATGACTGCATTTTTAAAGCTCATATCGACTAAATCACGACTCGCTTCTACATCGCGCATTAAAGTAGGACCAAACACCATGGCAAGATTCTTTGTCGTCATTAAATTTTCGGTGTGACGTTTCTGGACACTATAGTGAATGTGTAAGTAAACCCAAAAGTAATCGATTAGTGTAACTTACTTGTTCAAATGTTTAACTAATAATCGAAGTGTATCGTAATTGACTTTGGGTAATTGCGACAACAATTCAAAAAATTTATCCATTTTTTCTTGTCCAACATTAACGGCTAAAAATAAACTGTGAATAAATAATGAAATAAATGTAGATGTATGGGTATTTACAAACGGCATCAATGAATTGGGAATAAAGATTATACGGTAATACTGGGTTAGGTAACTCTCGTAGATATTGCTTCAGCACACTTGTGATAGCACATATATCGTTGATTGACTCATCATCATCCAGATCAATAGGATCTCCCATATCAAATGATTGGTGAACCAACCTCATTTGTGCTGCACCCCCTGATTTACGATAAATGCCTTCATAATCCATACCACGCTTTTCAACGGCCCTGATACATTGTTCAATAATCAGCGGGATGGATCTATCTTCATAATGTGCTTGTTCCGATAAATCAGTTCCGAATAAAGAGCGGTGTTCTGATTCGGAAGGTAGATTTTCAAAACTAGTTGTAGTTCCAGCATAGCATAATTGAGGTACATGACTTAAGCAGCGAGCATGAGTAGCATACATACAACCTTGACAGCGCAATTCAGAAAGACCCCACATCTTTTCACCGCAAGCATCACATTTAATTGGTCTTAAAAAAGAGGTAGGTAAAAAGGTATGCGATCCATGTTGAGTGTTTTCTTGAGATTGCTTGTTGGAAGAAGAAGAAGAGTTATTTTTTTGACGAAATTCTGCGTAGCTATCGTTGTTGGCCATGGATAAACTGAGGGAGCTGTTACCGCTTGTGTTGCCATATATATTACCCGAGTCCACCTTGTTGGATTTTCCACTCAACTTTGCAAACATGTTATTCTTCTTTTTTAATTTAAATATTTTTGGGGGTTGTGGGTGTTGTTGATGCTGATGATGTAACAATGCAGTTTGTGCAATATTGCGAACTATACTGGCTTCAGAAGATTTTCTTTGCATGTGCGTAGGGGAATATAATTCAGAAGAAAGGCTTGGCGAAGGTGAATATAAAAATGATGTACCGGCCATCACAGCAGCAGCTTCTCTTTCTCTTTCAGTCACTCTTCGAGAAAGATCGTTATTCATTTCCGTCAACTCCGCATTCTTTGTATTTAACATGACCATTTCATGAAGCACATCATCTCTCATGTCTTCCAAACTTTTAGTCTCTACACGTACTTGGTCTCGATCCGTTACCAAGGATTTGATTTCGGTGACCAATGCCTTTTTTTGTTCATCAAGATATATTAAAGATGTTCTAAGAAATGAATGAGTTACGTGCCACATCAAAAAAAGAAGTAATGCTACTTACGGTTCAAGACCTGCTTGTTTTTGTCTAGCAAGGGAATCGATATCCTTGACCAACATATTTCGATATCCTTTTAATTCATTACAAGTTCTATCTAGTTCAACACGAACTCTAGCAACCCTTTCGATTTCTTCCTTTGTTATCACAGATAATTCTGGTCTTGTCATTTGCTTGGATTGATAAGCAATACTCAATTGATGTTTTAATTGAAGAATTGTATATTCTTGCTGTTGACGTAAAGCTACTTCCTTGGCAAATTCTTCTTTTGCTCGAGTAAATTCTTCCAAAGCTTTTCTGCTGGCATCTTTAATTTTGTTATAGCTTGTTTCCATCGCACTCAATTTGCTTTGTGTCATATCCAATTCATTACGTAATTGTTCATTAATATCAGCATGTTGGGGTGGTGCAGGTTGGGGCATATAAATTTCTTCATTCATCAAAGAGGACTCTAAAAGTTGTGAAGCACGAGTAATATTTTCTGTAGTCTTCACAATGACAGGTACGGCTACGGCCTTATTTTTGTCGTCTGAATTTCCATAAATATCCATGGCAATATTAGCACCCAATTTTTTGGTGAGATTAACGAGATCGGTGGAATCATTGTCGAAAAAAGAAAGATTAAGAGTTGGGAGTTCTGGTATCAAGGAAAAGTCGAGCGTGGTTGTTGAAGTCGATTTCGTTAAAGAAGAAAACGAAGATGAGGTATTACTCTTATTGATAAAACTATGAGGAGAGTGACTACCAATAGATAAAGGAGGTGAACTAGGCGAAGATTTTGATGAGGTCACGACTTCGGATTTTGAAGGAGTTAATCTGGTATCAACTAATCGCATTTTGGGAGGTATGTCTACTGAATTGCTGCGAGAGCGTGATGGGGTAGGTGGATCTGTTGTACGGTTATCTAATGGATTTCGTGTACGAGGTTGGGTCTGTATGTAATCAGCTACAAGTTGTGGATCAAATAAACGGCTAGTATGTCGATTGGCTGTGTTTGAGGAAGCTGGCTGAATCCCGCTAGGATTAATCCGCGGTTGACGAGCAGTCTATGGATGAAGTTAATATTAGCCCCTTTCAAGAAACTAATTATGTATACCTGAGAAGGAGAGGTCATTGTATTCAAAGGCGAAGGAATAGAAGGTAGCTCCTTGGCGTTGTTTATCGCTTGTTTCTGCTGTTGTCTTTTTCCTCTTTCTTCTCTTCTTTTTTGTTTCTCAGCCCTACGTTTCTCATGACATGGTGTACAATGGATACCCTATTATTTGTTTAAGGTAACATTAAAATTTAAATTTCATATGTGAAAAATTATTTATACCTTGCTTGTTTGGGTAAATACTAAATCGTCGATTTTCTTTTTGCATGATACACATTGAAAACAATCTGCATGGTATGCCTCATCACCTATTTTTATATAAATAATCATATCATAAATATTACATACTGTCTTTACCTGTCATGATGGCCTCATCACGAATCACTTGCTTACAAGCATTACAACAATAAGAACAACTTTCACAGACGGGTCTGCCATTTGTTAATAACAATAAATTTGATTCGCAATCAACTGGTTCTGCACATTTAGCACATATAAAACTTTTTTTTTTCAATGTTTGTTACTAATCATTGTTTTAATTCACAAACAAGTAAGCTTTACCATTTCAAATGAAACAAAGAATCTCCAAAGGCAATGACTGAACCCTCTTCGATGATATTTTCACATCCTGTACATGCCGGTCCGTCCATTCTTTTTATTTTGTATGATAAAAATAAATAAATAAAAAAAGGGAAAAAGAGGAAAGAAGGAAAAAAAGGTTATTATAAAAAAGAGGGGCAAAATGCTAATTGTAACACAGCATTTTAGAGGGAAACACAAACTTATTGTAGGTTTGTGTTCCATACTAAATTTATACCGTAACACACATACTTCTATATTGTCTTCTGATTGCTTCCAGGCCCGTGCCAAATATATAATATATCAATGTCATTTGATGGGTATACTAAAGAAAACATATTGCAAAGAAGAAAAAATCTCAGCAAATGAATGTAGTAAAAGAGGACATGTATGAATAAGATGGTCCATTTAATGATGGATGATTTTCACAGGCTGTTGGGTCTTACACACTCACACACACGCACACACATACACACACAACTCACACACACACACATAAGCACCCTGCATCCTCTTGTCGTGGTTTAAATAAATTTGTGCAGTTTGACCTTAAAAATACGCACGCACTACAGAAATATAAATTGATTTATTAAAATGACTTTAAATCGACCTAACTAAATAGATGGGGTATTCATATATATATAATCTGACATAATGTATGTCATAACTAAAAAAAAAAAAAAAAAAAAAAAAAGACAAGTGCATTATGCACGGATACATGTTATTGGTCGATCTACAATGATAAAGGGAAATCATTCATTACAGGCGAGGGAAAATATACGGCGTATACGCATGTTTTAAATACCTTCAATAAGCATATAAAAGACGGGGCGCTTACCAGAGAATAATTATGGCTCTTTATTTTGGTTCAGTTATTCTCCCCCTCTTCCATTGACCATACAGATGTACTATACCATAACGATTTGCATAAATAACAAGGGATTTACTGAAATGTTTGTTAACTTCTCTTTTACATTCACGTATCTCATCAATAATCATTAAATGAGTTCATATCGCCCTTAAATATATAAAGAACGTTCATTTTTCTCCATACAACATGCCCCTATCAGAAATCTATTTTTTTCTTTCTCGTGGTGAACTTCTATTCATCAATCTGATGCGCCATTGGAGACCAACTTTGTAGTATCTATGGTGATGAGTTTATTTTTGAACGACAAAGTCTCCTTTTTTTATTGTGTTTTGAAGATATTTACTTTCCCCTTTTCGTCTCCTTTTTTGATTATATGAAGAACCAATAAATTTCAGAAACTGGTAAGACACTGGAAACTGAAAGCGAACAATAAAAGAACCCGGGTGACCAAGCAAAATGGCAATGGTAGTACCATATTGCCACAGATGGGTTGCACTGTGTTACCGAATTTAAGCTAAATTTCGATCTAACCGCGAGGACCCCAATATGGTCCAGGCAGTCAATTTAATATAGACTTTTGGGACGGATATGAGGGATGAAGCTACCTTAATTTAAAGCCTAATATTGTGTTTTTATGGGACAATTGTTTATTTTAAGAATGGCATTTGTAGTTTTTGTAAAAAGGTATAGGTTTAAGAAAAATCGAATTCAAGTTTTATGTTCACAATTCTGGAGATGACTCCGCCACTTTAATTTTTGTATATGTCCAGACTGTGCATATTGCACGTCTTTGATATCTAAAATTCACTCATTATATTTTTGTTTAAATCAATTTGGCAGAACTTGATTACCGAAAAATAGAACAAAATAAACTCTTTTTACTATAGTTACCCCGACCTTGTTCAAGTCAGTGTATCTTACCCGGCTCCATATGATGACATGGTCGTATCAGGAGTGCATCTATCTATACTGATAGTCAAGCACGGGTAGTTTTCTTGCCCTATCTAAACGAACAATGCCATGAACAAATTCAAAAATAGATTAGACCTGGATAATACGTCTTGAAACAATTACATTAAACTGACTACAATATACTATGCTTATCTATTCTACTATTGTATTATATGTATTAAATCTGTTTCAAACAATACAAAGCACCATCAGATTGTAAATTGACAATAATTGATCAATAACTGATATATTACAATTATGCTACTACGCATATACGCTTAAATCGTACTCAGCCTGATCAAACGACAACAATAATGCTTTTATACATTATTATAATCCTTTTATACATTATTATAATCCTTATCTAATCCACGGCTAATTTTTTAAAGGAATGGTTAAATAATTTAACAAAAGTTATTTTCTCATGCACATATATCAGTTTTTGCAGCTTTTGATAACCGAAGTAATATATATAAAGAATTTACAACTATTATTATATAGATTAGCAGTATTAAAAAAATAACAGCCATCTACCTTCATATAGTTAATAAAAAATAGAGTGGCTTCTATACCAATTATCCTATCAAAATGAATCCTTGTGGTCATTATAATGGGAAACAATTTATTACAAATTCCTCAAATGTTACATACCTAAAGTCGCTCTTTTGGAATATTTAGTTTCTGACAGGGCAAATAAATTTTCTGACAAATCTAATTTTTAATGATGCTCGATGTACTCCATTTGATAAATATAAAAAAAGCAATCCATGTAAAGAGAAAGTAGAATAGCCTCAAAAGTTTTTAGCTAGTACGAAAGCGCTTCTAAAATCATATGTTCAGACCTAAGGGCAAATATTTGCCTCTTTATCTCATATCATGTAGCAGCTTGAGAGACAATTATTGAAGATGACATAGAGGTGTGTGTTATAGACAAACTGATGTTAATTCAAAGCCTTCCATCATTATGAAAGTGACCCTAACTTTTGCTGTAACTAAATGTTTAACTACTGTTAAGACATCAACCCAACTCTTGGAGCTGTAGCTCACGTTTACTTAAGCGTCCTTTAGATATAAATCACTCGAGCATTAGAAAATGGCTTGGCTTACTGCTCGTCACTGGACTTACTGTCACTTATTAGAAGCAATAGATCTAGGCTTGACTCAACAAACATCGAGTATGTATTATCTATATGCTTTCATATACCTATAAAAGTAAATTACGCCTATTGCATTTCAGTAAACCTACTAAAATCATATCTCTTTTCATTTTGATAGCTCAAGCTTAATCACATTATTGACGAGTATAAAACTTTGGAGTTCTGCTGATAATTTTAAAACTGAGATTCATACAAAACGAAAAACACTCAGCTGTAAACCTTATTGGCATCATAAAACCCTTTTATTTAACATGCGTGTAACCTTTGAAAGATCAGGTACATTTTTTGCAGAAATTCTTCTTCTTCAGTTGACCCAACAAAGTAATTGTGGCGATCATACAAATAGAAACTTGATAACTACAATAAGTATCCGCCTACGATCACGTTTATCTACAAAAAGGTCCACATAATCCCCCTTTTTTGATTCGTATTTTCTTTCTATTTTAAAGTAAATTTCTGCATTGCTATTTGTGATGAACATAAGTCCCCTTAATACATACCACGTTTTTGTGACAGCTACAATATAAATATGACACAGTTTTATTTATCACTCATGTCTGCCCCTTTTTTAAGATTGTACATTGACCCATGTCGAATGCAAAGATTGCGCAAGAGATCTTGCGCCATATAATCAGTTATTTAGACGATGCTGATTTTGGCAATGTATTGTTCGTATGTAGAGATTGGTACAAGGCATCACTTTCTGCATACTTTCGGAAAGCTTTCATTAGCGAAGAGACGGTTGATGTATACCAACCTTGGACGCATGCTGAATTTACACAAGAACTAAAAATGACGACACCGCATAGAGATTGCACGAATTTCCTAGTTGAACAAGACTTTTTACATATGCTTTCGCGGTTCCCAAGGTTAAAAAAACTTGATCTTTCTTCAAGTCGAAATTATAAAAAATATATGCAAGTGCTAGCTGAAAGAGTTGACGCGAATTTGTATTTACAGTTCATTGAAGAGATCAAAGCTGTTCCTGATAACATGTACCTTCATCTTTACTATTTTGCTGCCTGTTATAACTTCCGTCATTCTCTTCGGACACTTGAACTGTATGCAATTGATTACGCGACAAAATCTGATGGACCCAAAAGTTTCACTTATTATTTACCCCATTTTACCCAGCTTACAAACTTAACTGTGACGAATCGCTATTTATCTGATATAACTTTGTTTGACATATTACTCCATTGTGACAACTTGACAAGCCTAAATTATGATAACCAGTGTCCGGTTCCTTTGCATGCCAAAAACCAACTGGGCACTACGAATAATGTAAACCTAAAAAGGTTGACATTAGTTATCTACTCTGATGCAACCCCATATCTCGATTATATCCGATCAAACTATTGTTTACAATCCTTGACTCTGGTCATTGGCGGAGACATATTCCAGTGGTTTAAAGATTTTCACTCATTTGCTGGATCACTTCTAAAATTCAAAAATGTAACCATTAAGAAGAAAGAACGGTATTTACATGATTTGTTTCCATCACAAACAATCGCATTTTACAACTTTTTGATGTCATTGAAAGGGAAAAGTGACTTGCTATTCAATGCTACTTTCAAGTCTTGCCCAAATGACATGGAGGACATCATAAGTATTTGTAATTCTCAGCTCAATTTTGTGTATCATACATCCCATGACAATCCTTATGACTTTGTGGACACGCGAAAAATCGTGAAGTCTATCAAGTTTTATGCAGCAACAGCAGTATTTCCTTTTGCTTTATTGAAATACATGAAGAGCTATAGAGATATCCAAAAAGCGACTATAATTGTGGATAATGGGAGTATTGACTTTACGAGTACCGCCATACGTCTGAACAGATTCCACATTTCGGATATCACATTTTATCGGCTACGCCAGTATTCGCCCCATGTGCAATACATGGAGATATCAGGCAGTAAATATGGTGGTAGGCTGAAAAAATTCTGCTTTGACATGCGGGATTTCAAAGAATTACGGGTTTTTACCTTTGACATAAACCAAATTGACACAACGGCCGAATTTACCTTTATCAAGCTTGACCTTTGTTCCAAATCTCGTTACTTCAGAATATTTAAATCTGGCGGAAAATATTACACTCAAATGGTCTCCGAATCTTATGTATCGCAACTTTGTCGATACTCCTTCACTTGTATCTTTATGTTTTCTAATAGCTCTGTAAAAATTCATTTTAGAGATTAAATAAAAACTTAAACACACAGCTTTCTTTAATAAAGCACTACGATTTATGCAGCGATCGGTGCTTAAATTATTTTTCAGGGTTCGACAACAGCTGTCAACCCAAATTGTGTTTTATTTTATTTTTCTTTTTTTCCCAACCCCCAACCCCATAATTCGCCAATGTCAGAACAAGATCATTTCTTAAGCACCACACCTGTCGATGTTGCCATCAAGGCACTTCAAGTACAAGTTGAACAGTTAAAGAGAATCATAAACAAGACCGGTAAAAAGAAATATACATAAATATGAAAGAATTTTTATTGACACTTTATGTCATTGAAAAACAAGATGAAGTTTCCCCTGTCATTGAAGATAACAGCCAAGAATTAAAGCAAGAAATCAAGAGATTACAGACTCTCAACGATAAAGCCGAATACCGCATTAAAATGTTATTACGTACCTTGGAAGAAAAAGAGCAGAAATAAATAAAAGATAAATAAACTGCTCTTTCAGTGCAAATAAGAGTTTTTAATCATAATTGTATCAAACAAGAAAAAATGCGAATTATTTATTAGATGAAATGGTATTATGATTTGTTTTTTAACGGTAACGACGGAGAGAAAGAGTGTTACGACGCTTCCAGGTGGCACGACGACCAGAACCCTTAGTGTTGTTGAAACGATGACCCTTACCGTGACCACGAGACTTACGACCGATAGCAGTAAGACCACGAGCTTCACGACGCTTGTGAACGGGGTTGGCAATCCAGTTAATGTGAGCATCACGACGGATGGCCTTGTGGGAAGGATCGACAAGGATGACTTCAAAGTACTTGTAAGTAGCATCTTGGTTGACCCAGTAAGAGTTCAACACACGGAGGTTGGCACACTTGCGACCAATACGTTCCTCAGCGGTGGAACGGAGAGAACGTTGGTACTTGAGTTGGTTAACACCCTCATTGACGGGCTTACCAAAGGTAGCACCCTTGTGAACAGGTCTCTTACGACCACCACGACGAACACGGATACGGTAGATAACGAAACCTTGCTTGGCCTTGTAACCTAAACGACGGGCCTTATCAGGGCGAGAAGGACGAGAAGCACGATGGATAACGCTTAATTGTCTACAAATTAAAAAAAAAAACCAAAAAAGAAATTTTTCCTGCATGAGTCTCAGAGTACAATCATTCATCGGATGAATTTATTAAACTCTTCTAAATTTCAATTTCTTGAAAAATAGAAGGCGTATTCAAGCCTAAATAGAATCAGAGGATTCTGTGTACCTGAATTCCCAACATCTTACACGAAGTAAGAAACGAGAGACATCGGATTGTTTCTTTCTGGAAAGCTCTTCAAGATATTTATAAGCTTTTTTTTTTATTTGGCGTTAGTATCATTTCACATTTCAATTCTTATGCAATGTTGTTTTTTCAATGGATGGATTATTGTTATTGTTATATTTACCACCCATGTTTGATGTATGTGTTTATAGTTAAAATATATAAAAGAAAGGGTACGTGAGTCCGTGAAAACATCAGTTATAATAACAAATGGACTGTCCGGCAACGGTCCGGCAACTATCTGGAATTGAAATTATAGCAAACACACACACACATACACGCATTAAAAAACAAGCGGCTTTTATTAGTGTGTAACAAAAGAGCATTACTTTTGTTTGCTATATCTGTGTAGAATTGAAAAGTGTATTGTCTTGAAAAAATAACATCAAAATATATGAATGTGTGATGCTACTACCTTTAATGATTTCAGAAATTATTAAATCCATACAGTGTGTAAACACGATATGGGAAACATTGACTTGATTTGGTAAAGCATCGGCACATTGAAGCTTGAGAATAACGAAAGGTAATGATGATGCATCAAAATTTGTTGACAATTTGGGGTGCTGAATAAAGCCGGGTTTATATACTTAATAGTAGCAATTTAATTTACTAACTGTTGCAGCCAGACAGGTGAATACTGAATAGTGCTAATGCTCTAAGAGCATAATCAAATACCACAAACAAGGTTGACGTGATATGATTCTTTTGTTTGTTTGTTTACCGTACCTTTATTTTTTAAAGTTTTTATTTACTGCCCAAAAATCATTCGGGGGGCCGAACAAAGTTGGGTCCAATGATTGACTGTAGCCCAAATGGAATACTATATTTGGTTATTAATTTAGACAAGTGGGTAAATTCATATATTCATTGTTTGGGAAGACAAAAAAAAAAATGACAAGTGGCCTTCAAACTTGCATTAGGAAAATGATGCTTCTACGTGTCAACATTGTTTATGCATCAGAAGCACTAGACCAATCTATCTAAACTTTTTGGAAATATAAGCTTTTCTTAAATAAACGATACTTTTTAAAAATAAAGAGTGGAAGATCGGGATCAACATTATATTTTGGTATTTCGCTAAAGATAATTGGTTCAAGTGGTACTTTACGTATTAAAACGTTGCCCTGAGTAGCGTTTCAAAATAAGGGGGTGCAAGGTCGTACACATGCCATTTCCATTTTAAGCAATTTTCTTTATTATTAAAAAAATAAAAAATTATTATAGGTGTGTATGTGTGTGTGTGTGTGTGTGCGTGTGTGTGCGTGTTTGTGTAGAAAGTACATGATAAAAAAAAAAGATTAAGTAAATATTTGTGTATTAGTGAATTACTTTAATCCTCTGATGATTCAGGCTTATTGTGTTGAATTTGAGTGGATTCTTTAATGGCCATCAATTGCTTTGCACGGAAAGTCTCATAATGAATCATGGCGGTAGTCTCAATCAAGTCTTGTAAGTGAGTTCTTGTCAAGAAATTACGCAAATGAATAAATTCACAATGGTTGGGATCTTCCACATTAATAGCTCCCCAACGTGTCTTTCTTCCACGTACTGCTTTACCGTCAATCACCACATTTCTCTCGGAACCTACAATGGCAAAAGGAACAAGCTCAAAAATGGTTTCGTTCAATGCCTTTTCTTGTTCCTCATCCTCTTCACTTTCATAAGGGTATAATCTGATATTGTGGAATACAAGCTCAGCCTTGATCTATTAAAGAATAAGGTAAGTAACACGCTATATTATATTAAACACGAGGATGATCTTTACTCTTTGCTTAAAAGCGTCACGTTCTTCAGTAGTAAGCGAGTCGGATTTGGCAATGACAGGTACGACATTGACAACTTCAGAAAGCTTCTTAAGTACAACAATATCAATGGGCTTAAGACTATATAAACGCAAAGCGAATTGAGTTTTTGTTGTTGTTGTTGTTGTAGTAGTGGATAAATGCATAACTTACGAGTGACCAGAAGGTGTGATAAAGAAGAGACAACAATGAATACGTGTGTCAATAATATAACGTTCACGTCTTGCGGTTAATTCTTTACGGAGATACGCAGAATGTTGATCCTTGATGTATTTAATAATAGGCTCCCAACTTTTTAGGAGCAAAAAAAAAAAAAAATTAAAATTAATTAAGGCTTAATTTTTGTTTTTACTTACCAGTTGTCATTGTTGACTTGATCGCCATAACCAGGTGTATCCACGATATTCAAGCTTAAACGCACACCATTTTCCTCGATAGCTGTGTATTGTTAGTAGGGAAATATGTAATATAGTCAAATAAGACTCACTGTGAGCGACGGCTTCGATTTCTGTGGTTTGACGGGTGGTCTCAGAAGCGTCTAAACGACCTTTGCTGTCAATCAAGTGAGAGGCAAAGATGGTGTTGACCAATGTTGATTTACCAAGGCCGGATTGACCTACAACCATGACGTTGAATTGGAAACCCTTTTTCAGCAACTTTTTCTCGATCTGCTGGGTGATGGTGTCGAAACCAACATAGCTGTTCAAGAGAGTCTATGAGAAAGTTAGGTTAGTCAAGTTAAAAGGGGGGGGGGTTAAAATGGGGATGAAAGGCTCACCTGGTGAGGAGAGAGGTTGACGTTTTGCTCTGAAGTAGGGGTTGACATTGTTGATGTGGACATGGTGTTAAATGAAAAAGATGAATATAAGTGTAGCTGGGTGGGGATTAATAGATGGGGAGGTGATACAAAATAAGACGAATCGCACGTGGGATGATAAAAGTCAACACCTGTCTTTATACCATAACGAGGAATAAGGTAAAATGACCCCGCCACCCTCAGACAAAAGATATCAACCCTCAAAAGTGTCTGTGTCAATGATAAAAAAAAAAAAAAAGAAAGATTCGGAAATAAGAAAAATAAGCAGTGTGATTACAACTAAAGTCACAATGAATACATGTCGGAAGGAGGCTTCCGCTTTTCTGTTATGGACTGACTCTATTCGGCCATGTCATTTAATATCATGTATATATAAAAAAAAAAAAAGAAGGGAGAAAATACGCCCAATAATTGATATATCCTTTTCTATACATTAAGGTTTGGTTCATCCTCTCATCGTAGTAATTACCTTTTCCCCCCTCTCTTTCTTACGATAAACACAAACATATAAACATACAAACGAACAACCCTGGACTTCTCATTGTACGCCAATCCATCTCTTCTGGTGCATGAAAAAAGATTAAAGTTTTTGGCATAGCAAAATTAAATAAATTAACTATGACACACGGCCTTTTTTTTTAGTCTAAAAAAAAAATCATTAGAAGGAAGACTCCCCTTCTTTTTTATTTTTTATCTGCTCCCTGTGTATATTGAGACAGAAATTACATTTTTTAAACATTTAAGAAAAAAATACGCCATTAATCAATGTAAGAAACAGTAAAAAAAGGGGTGTCCAAAAGAGAAAAAAGGTTAATATTTTTTCTTCTGTTTATAAAAGACCCTTTATGTACGCATGTTGCAAAAAAAACACCAAAATAGATGGGGGAGGTCAAAGGAGAAAATGAGGAGAGAAATAGAATAGAATAAAACTCAAAAAACTTGAACGCCAAAAATTTCTCATATAATCCCCTTGTCAGCGCGCTGTATAAGTTACTACAAGTTTTTTTTTTTTTTTTTTTTTTTTTGAGGAGATGCCAATCGATTCGATTGAATTTGATAATCATCATAAAAAAGAGGAGTGGTGTAGATGAACTACATCGAACCATGGACTACTTCTTTTTTCAGGGGTTGTCCTGCTGCTACTGATGATGTTATTTCACCATCAGCAGTAGTAGCAGTGGCAGTAGTAGTGGCAACAAATACTATTTTATTTCCATAGCAACCGCAAACATCATAATGGCGAAGAAGGAAAGTCCGAACTTTTTTTTTTTTTTTTTTTTTTTTTTTTTTTTTTTTTTTACCAATGCGTCAATACTATTCTTAGTAGTACCAATGACAAGGAGAAACATTTTTTTTTTTTTTGTGCACGGTGATGAGAAGTCGGGACAGATCCGTGAAGAGTGCCTCTGTTTATCGGTTGATTAGAAAAGGGAGGAGTGATTTATTCGGAGTTGTTCAGTCTTACCACGCAATCAACATGTGAAACATGGCTACACGATCGATGACAACTAATGGGATAAGTTGACTTTTTAGCTGTGAGTAGATCTTTCAGTAACTCGCTTTTTCTCTTTCCTCCTATTTTTGGTGTATCCTAATAAGCCTAGTCTTTTCCACTCTACCCAATACACATATACAAGGAGTTCGGAAATAGCACACAAACCTTCTGTTGTGCTATCCTAGGGGGTTAACCTAGGGAGCAATATTATTTATTTATTTGATATAAAAAGAGGATAAAATAAACTTGTCTTCTATAAATAATTAAACAATTCTTTTTTTTTTTTTTTTATCTTTTTTTATTATTACTCTTTACATACATTATATTAAATAATACCACTACTGCTTATTTTTTTTTTTTTCGTTTGACAACTGAGAAAAAAAAAAATTGAAAAAAAAATATATTTGAAAAAAAAATATATATATATATATACACTAGCCTCATAATATGGAGATTTTGGAACTTGTTCATCAAGAGACTGCACCCAGTTTAGAAAGACCTTTCGAATGTGCATTCAAGGAATGCAAAAAGACGTTTGGTAAATAATTGCTCATTCGGCATAAAACGCTTTCAACTAAACTTTAATTTATTATAGGCAGACGTTCTGATTTGGTTCGACATTCTCGTATTCATACGAACGAAAGGTAAATAACAACAATGTTTTCATATACCCCCCCCCCCAGCTGTCAAAAAATTAACCCTCATTATTTTATTATAGACCGTTTAATTGTAGAGAACAGAGCTGTGGCAAAAGCTTTATTCAGGTAACAAAGAAGAATGAAATGATAAAAAAGGCAGTTGAATCCTAAATCAATTTTATTTCAATTAGCGATCAGCTTTGACTGTACATATGCGTACACACTCTGGCGAAAGACCACACGTGTGTGAATTTCCTCTTTGCAACAAGAGTTTCAGTGATAGCAGTTCTCTTGCTAGACATAGAAGAACGCACACTGGTAAAAGACCTTATCGATGCCCTTTTGAGAACTGCTCAAAAAGTTTCGTTCGTAAAACCATCCTTACCAAGCATATGAAGGGTGACCACGTAACCAATGGCAGAAGACCCTCCGTACAATGGCAACCATTTATAGAAGAGAGACGTAAAGTTATGCTTGAACAGCAGCAACAACAACAACAACAACAACAGCAGCAGCAGCAGCAGCAACAGCAGCAGCAGCAGCAACAACAACAACAACAACAACAAAATTGTGCTTGCACAGAATGTTATAGTAACTCTTCTCCACCTTACTGGTCACCCAACACACCTGGGTTGTCTGGTTATGAAGATGATTCTTCTAGTACGAGTAGTCCATCCTCTCCATCCAGTGTTTCTTGGCCTTATAGTGTAGCCATTCCCTATCAATATGCTCAACCAACACCACAACCCCCATTATGGAGCTCTAGTGTCTATGATCGCGACCATGTCGTTTTACCCAGTTTATCAAATTTATTGGTTCCCAGCAAACAATTATGGTCTCCTTTAACAGCAGCAACAGCAGCAACAACAACAACAACAAGAAGAGATAGTGGCGTTTCATTGTTTAATCCTTGAACACGCACGCTCTATTTCTAATTATGCACTTTCATTATTCCCAAAATCGATACCAACAACAACCAAAAAAAGAAAAAAAAAAAAGCAAGCCCTAAAAAAAAAAACAAAAAACAATTCTATGATCATCATCTTCTATTCTGAATAGAAGCAGCTCTTCTCCTTGTATGTTTAAAAAAAAATTATTCTATGATTTATATGAACTTTATGCCCCCTCTCATCATCATCCTCCTCGCCATCCTCTCACCTACTCACCCCCTTTTTTTTCTCCCCTTGCTAATTTTTTTTTTTTTAAACACATAAAAATTCAAATAATGCCCCTATTTTAATAAAAATACATTGCATCAATGTTTCATCTTCATACTACTCTTTCTTCTTGTTGCAATATATGAGCTTCCATTAATTCTACCTCATGATCAACCCATGATGGCAACTCACAATTGGATATTTGCTCCAAAGTCTGCTTCAGAACTGATTTAATTTCAGCATCTATAATTAAAAAAAAAAAAATTAAATTAAAATTAATTACCCCCCAGAAAATACACAGACACAACTTACTCTTCTCTTTCACTAAAGCTTCATGTGCTTCTTTCATGCGCTCAAGATTCGCTTGCTGTTTCTCTAACTGCCCATCCTCCTTCTCTATCAGTTTCGAACAGTCTCTTAACCTGTCTATTTCATGCTGCGCGGATTGGATTTGATCTTTGTATACTGCAGCATTTTGAAACCGACGGCTTTCAATCGCTAACTCTTTTTGTCGTTGCCAACGCGTTATTTTATGCTCCCATGCTCTCATTGACTCATCCACTTCGATGCTTTTTTGTTGCTGTCCAAACAACTCTTCTTGCATCGCATCCACCTTTTTTTCCACCTCCCGAACACGTTCCCGAGACCTAAAATAACACTCTCTTTTAGTCATGGCTGCATTGTTTATATATTTTTTGTATGTTTGATGTACTTGCGCCTGGATCTCTCGTTGATGCTGTGCTAATGTACCGTCTCGCGTTTGAATACACTGGATAAATCGTAAAAGTGAATCCATCATGTCCTTTTGTTGTGCCAGTTCCATGGCCTCGGCCATTTGTTCATTTAGTGTCTGGAGTTCATTTAACCCGCCATCCTTGTCTTGCTGGTGTTTATTCATATCTTCCATAATCGCCGTCTCCTGCTCATTCAAAACATGCTAATATACGCCTTTCTGTCAATCCAACCATCCCTCTTCCTTTACATAAATAAATAAATAAAATAACTCACTTCTTTTTCGGAAATATCGCTCTTTTTGGATTGAAGTTGCTGATATTCTTGCTCATGTTCTAGGGTTTCTTGCGAGAACGGCAATAACTTTTCATGCATAACAGAGGCTATCTCGGTCATGCTCTTCTCCAGCGTTGCTTTTTTAGTTTGAAGCCTATTTAATTTTAGTTTCAGATCATCCATCTCGGTCTAACGATGATAAAAAAAAAACTTTTTAAAATACACATGACAACGATAAAGTTTTCTTCTTCTTCTTGTCTTACTTGGATGAGTTGCACCTCTTTGGAAAGATCCTTTTGTTGATGATCCAGTTGAAAAGTAGCTTCTCCTTTGCGTTCGGTCAGATCCTCATCTGCCTGCTCCCAAAGTCCCAACTCAAAGGCCACCTCACTCTTTTGTGATTCAAGGCCTTGTCTGCCCAGCTCGATTTCTTCTAAGCGTTTTTGATGCATGCGTTCATGATCCGTGACAAACTTCATGTACTGTAAATGACGTTCCTCTTTTACCTTTTCACAACAATCCAATACATGCGTCGCTGCTTCCGACTCTCTTACCATAATATCATGCATCTCCCGCCATACTGCATCTACCCGAGGTAAATACCCCGTGTCCAGTTCATTTAAACTTTGGGTTAACTTTACCCGTGTCGCCTCTAATCTCTCCACACGTACAAAATCTTCTTGTGATATCGCTTCATCTCGTTCCTTTTCCAGCTCCAAAAGTCGGGTTCTCAGCGTCATTATTTGGTCGCGTGTTTGCTCTTGTCGTTTATAATGACGTTGCAACGTTTGCAAGCGATGATTTTTCTCGGCTTGTATACGGTGTAAAGTAGAACTGGCCGAAATTAGCTTTAGCTCCTCGTTCGCTTGAAATTTACGTCCTGATGGTGCTGAGGTTACCGGAAAAGAAGTTTTGGTGGTGGCGGTAGTGGTTGAGGAAGATGCCGATGACGCTGACAATGAATTTTTTGTTGTTGTTTTGTTTAGGTTTTATTATGCAAAAATTAAGATACACAGATACTTACATGAACTCATGAAGGGAAATGCAGACTTTACTTCAAAGTTAGTTGACCTCCTGCCAGAACTGGGAGATAACCTTTGGTCTTGCGAAGCCATAGCAAAATCATCAATCATGGAGAAAATGGTCGATTCCTGCCCCTTCTTCTTTTTCTTCTTTTGTTGCGGTCGAGAGGGGGTAGGTTTCGCTTGATTAACAAACGTGTCTATTTGAGAATCATACAAATCTTCAATGAGTGAGGACGAGAGCACAGATGAAAGACTCTCATGACTTTCTGTCTTGTTCATAAAGTTAAATGCAGACATTGATTATGAGTAAAAAAAAAATAACAAAATACAGCAAAAGAGGAGGGAGTTTTAAAATCTTATCATTCACACATGAGAGCTCTTTCAACCTAAAATTCCTCATGGTTATCAACGGTATCTTGTTTAGGACCTGTAGTCAGGGGAACCAAACATAAAGAGACTCTTACCTTTAAGTGAAAATGGTTTATTACGACAGACTATTTCTATTCATTCGTTCTATTTCATGCTAGTTGTCGTCTGTACTACATCAAAAACAGGGAAAATTAGCATACAGTTACTTCAAAAGAGACGTACGTTTATCAACCTTTTTTTATTTACCTGTAGTTGCTTGATTGAATCTAGTCCACACCCAAAAAAAAAAAAAGTCTTTGACAGAAACGAGTCAGAAACCGTAAAATATGTGACGACTTCTAAACATGTATTGATAAATTAGCTTGAGAATTAAGTGGTAATTTTACCCACCGAATGATTTATATTGTGGTTTCTTCCCTCCACCACATCTCTCTTATTTCTCTTTGGTGAGTAAAGTCTTTGTCGAGGGCTATCGTAGAGCAAGGCTCCTCCGAAAAAGAAAATGTAAGACGTCGTCACCATGGAGCGTCATTTTCCTTTGAATCACGGTAAGTCTCTATTCTCCTTGTTTGAACTTCACACTAAAAATAAAGCTTCACATTCAACATAAGCGAAGGAGAGTGGCATCCCAAGGAGGCCAACTCTTGAATTGTGTGACAAAAAAAAAAAAAAAAAAAAAAAAAACCCCAAAACCAAAATACAGGCACAGCAACTGAAATCAAAGACCTTGAGGTCGTAAACTTGGTACTGGGTATGTCAAGAGCCACTTTGGACTTTGATAAAGTACTAAACTATCACGACTTTCAAAAGTATGATTCAAAAGGCTGGATTAAGCTACTGATGACAACCAGTTTCTTTTTTTCCTTTGGGAGCTCCCCCAAAACAAGAATGATGATAAAAAAATAAAAAACGTTAATCTTCTTCGATATTTTGATTAATTAGTGAGCTGTTAATCCAATCACAATAATGTCATATATAGCTAGTCTTGCATATTGTTGTTAAACACATATTAATCAAAAGTTACCGCGCCTGTTTAATAGAACTTGTCAAATTAGAGACGAGACAAGTATCCTACAAGGTTGACGGCTAAACAAGTTATCATTATCATAATGTTTGGAGTACGAGTGTCTTGGACAAACCAAATCCTCCCATTAAAACATCTCATCAACGTACTATCTTTTCCTGACACAGCTACTGCTGGAAAACACGCCAAGCTTAAAGAGCTTTCCACTCCAGAATTTTACAGAAATCAAATGTGACATACCGGCTATTTAAATACGTATGCGAATAGGTCAACTCTGTACTTTGACATATAGATTTAGCTCTTTCTTTTCAATTAAAATAAAAAATGCCTCTTTATTGTATGTTTTAAATCTCAATAAAATGCAGATCCATACAAGCTCTGATGGTTTGGAGGTAAAGTCTACACAAATGTGTAAAACAAAAAGTGTTACGTCTATTCGCGAGACATATCATTGTACCTTTCTATTAGACGTTTGCGTAGACTTCACCGTTTTCTTTTTATAATTCATGCCTACACAAGCATTTTCTTTTATAATTACGCTTCGCTGTTGATACATTCTACTACTGAAACACTGATGAAAATTCTCCAAGTTGAGCATCACATCTAAATGTGGACCTGGGGCCATTTAAAAATGATTTCAAATCATAAGTAATAAGGCTCAAAAATTAAATGCGGTTAAATAAAAGTATGTTTATCTCACATGTTACCAGTGAAAATAGGATTACTACATGCTTATGGGATTCGCATTTAGTTTGAGGCAACAAGAATTATTGACGTCTAAGTGCAAAGCCTGCGCGCACATCAACCGATAATATAGACCAAAACTTTTTTTTCCACCTCCCCCTCCCTCCATTATATTCAAGTTATCAATTATTCTTAAAGTATTGTTCCACCCGATAGAATTGAATTTTTACAGATCTTTTTCCGTTATTTGATAGGTATTGACCCAATCTAGACATAATGGGACTACACGAAATCAATAATTTAACTATATGAATAATATCTTTCTGTTACACGGGATCAACATCCATTGATTCTAAAAGATCTGAATAAGCTACTCTGTTTTTTTCTTCAAATCACCGCTTCTCGTCTTTTTTCATCTAGTGGTAAGTAAAATGTACCATAACCACCTAAAGAACGCATGTATTGGAGAGGGGGTAAGATCGCACATGCGAGCACAAGCGCTACGAGTCATGTGGACAACCTGGGTAGAGCCAATATTGCAAATCTTGAATGTCTTCTCCATAGCACTATGGTGGGTAGCGTACGATCATTCCTTCGTGTAAAGGTCTTTACCGATATTTGAAGCTCCCCTCCCATTTTTCAAATACGCGCCCAATCGAGTATGAAGCATCGTTCTTTTTGCTGTTTGGGGTTTTTACCTGTAATAATCGAAATCGGTTTAGTGTTTTTTCTGTCTCTGTCAATGTCGCACTTTTTAGACGAAAGTAGCCTGAATATTTACATGGTAAGTTCAAAAGCTCATTCAATTAGGGGTACACTCACAGTAGTTGAAACACCAACCGCTTGTAATGTTACACATACTATAATGGGGGCTATCACAGCAGATTATGCTATTTTGAATGAAATTAAGGAGCCTTTTAAGCCCAAGAAAGTAAAGGTCGATGGAAGTATGAAAAGAAAGAAGCCGGGGTAAAATATTTCCCGGGTGGAACTGTCTAAGGGGTACTTTGTGAGATTGTTTCGAAGACGCCGATTTGGATGGACAAGTTTGATGAAATGAGAAATTTTTACATCATTATAGATAATACACTCGAAAGTGTCACGAGTTTAATCGAGTTGAGAGGATATTAAAGTAGACATTGGAGGATGGGGATGGAAATAGAGCCACTGGGTGCGACATGTAAATTTAGTGAGTTCGCATAACCCTTTATGCCTGATATTAGCTGCTTGGTTAGATAAGGAAAGGAAGGAGAGAGGGATAGAGGAGTAAGATAAGGGGGATAATGATGTATTAATTAATTTATTTAGTAGAGGAAGTTCTTCGTTCTACTTGAGACAGTAAAGTTCCTTCTGACATGAGCTGCCTATTGAGTAAATCCTTGCCAACCTGATTCCTAGATTGATCTAAATCGCTAGTGGACATCACTTGACGAAAGGTATCGGCGATCATCATTGCATCTGGAGTGCTTAAAATAGAACTCTGCATTGTCTTTTCTTGCTGTTGATAAAGACCGCCTGTTGTTGTTGTTGTTGTGTCCATTTGGGCTTTTTTTTTCATCTTCTGCATATTCTTCCAAGCCCAAATAACAACACATATTGCTATAATCACAAGAAGAATCGCAATAATAATAATAGCCAGAATCCATTTATGCTTTAACTTCTCCTGGGTAATAATTTTGGGCTCCATGGGGGTTTCTTTTGAATAGCTGTTTTAGTTATTTAGTTTTCCAATTGGCTTTTTTCTGTAACTTACGAATAATGTTAAACTTTGTATTTGGCTGGACTTTGTTTAATTCATCTATGGCAGAGAATAGAAGAATATCTGGAGAAATGGTATGGTTATGAGGATAGACAAAGGCAAAGACTGTCGATGTCAAATTGGATCCATTCTGTAATGATTTGGGAAACCAATCATCCGTGACTTCTACCGTGAGTGCATTTCCCTTCAAATCCAGCCAGGACTTTATTGTTCTTTCTGTGCTATTTTCTCCTGCGATTGACAAGATGTATAAATCACTCTACAGCAGTACAGTTTGTATATTGGGTATATCGAGTTGATTTTCTGCATTTTTTTTTAAAAATACCTTACACTATTTTCGAACGATGAACTAGTAGTGTACGAGACTCTTTCTTTAACCTTTTTTTTGTATTCAGCATATATATCATTATCTTACTTTTTACTCCAGATAAATGTGTTTTCCTTGCGATTATACCATGTGTCATTTTGGCGTGGTGAGCAAAGGGTCCAAGGAACCCCATCACAGACTAGAAGTAAAGTGTTAAAAAGAAAAGTAAGACCATATAAGTGGTTGTCTTACCTTCTTCTAACGAATAAACACATTGTAAAAGACATATGAATGTTATAAAAAATAGGCAACAATACATCCAAGTAATAAAAAGTGTGTGGGGGGAAAAAACAAGAGTGAACTAAGAAGGATCCTCATAGTATTAAATAAAATAACAAAAAAAGGGGGGGGGGAAGAGGCAACTGTAGGAGTTGGAACTTAAACAGATGCATAAATATCACGCTCGGGTAAAACTTCTTTTTTTGTTGCGGATTTTTTAAAAGAAGGAACGAAATTCTATAGCAATGAGCTGAATCTGTTCTATGCAGGTTTAGTAAAACCGAGATGACTCAATTTGTATTCATAGTCTCGTAACATCACGAATGAGATCAGGGCGTCAGATTTAAAACAATTGCAAACAGCACAAACAGCATGTACATTACACTCACAGATAATTTCCCCAGAGAAGTAATTCCAAAGATCGTATAAAGACCACGGTCAAGGACTTGGGAGAAAATAATAAGGCGACTAAACATCTTTGTTTGGGTAGGAATATCCTTTTTTCTTTTAAAGGTCAATGGCGAGCTTGAATTATCACCTTATTCTCATTGACACTTGATATCCAATTCTCATGCTCTTTTGATAGGAAATCCTTGAGGACTCATAACACGTATCATAGAATTTACTTGTTCAGAGATCTTTCTGTACAAACAGTAAATAGTGAAGGGGGAAGCATTAAAAACAATCGCATACTTTATGGGTGGTAGCGTCATAACTGGCAATATTTACACCTGGGTACGCCTTTTTTTTTTTTTTTTTTTTTTTTTTTTTTTTTTTTTTTTTTGGTAAAATCTACACATTGGTCTATAAAAAAGAAGTTTATGTCATATCATCTTGACTTTTTTTAAGTTGCGCAATATGATGGGGTGTTATGGAATAAAATTCTTTAATAGTGCATGCGACTGAATGCTGATAGACAATTGCCAAGTTCAAAATTGCTTGTAGATATATAAGCCTGGGGCTATTTGCAGATACTTCCATCATAAGTAAAGGCTCAAACATATGTAATTAATGGTCTCCTCACGATAAAGTAAGAGTTTTATGGTATGCTTAAAAAACATATTATACTGTAAGTGTATACTGATTCAAAACTACACATCATACAGGGATTTTACGACACGGATAAACAAATAAAAATTGCCTGATACAGTTTCTTCCAGACCGGACATGGTGTTTTGTACTAAATCATTTGAAATAGGAAACGGGGAGGTCAAACCAGCCAATACACCTAAAGCATTCGTTGATCTTGCACGTGCCAGAATACTCGAGACATGTAAAAGACAATTGCATGTAAGGTTGAGGAAAGCGAGCCCATGGAAAGAGGCCGTAGCTTTTGATGTACACATATACCGTAAATAGAACAATAAAATAAAGGACAATGCAAGGAAAATGACTAATGCCTTCACTATATACTAAGGCTTATCCTACAAACTTTATATCGTTAGTTTTAGAAATGGATATTATCCCTACGTTCGAACCTCTGTAGGACTGATGTACACATCCCATACCACTTATAAATGTGCAGAAAAAGTACTCATGGATTTGATTCAACTAAAGGTAAACCAACAATCTACAATACATATACATGGTATTAACTGCTTCAGGTAGAGATCGATGTACCTGTCTTTGCCAGATGATGACATGGATCTCGACGAAGAATTCACCGCTGTCGACAAGAGCGACCTTTTACCTACTGTATCATACAGTATGGTTTTACACACTCAACGGTAGTTATATTACCTCATCATGTAAATCCTGTAGTATTATATTTACCACGAAAATAACTTCAGTCGATATTATGGTGAATTCTGAATATGGGCTGTCACACTTTATCATAAATTTTGAATATATCAGCTTTTTTCATCTACATATATGTTTGAAAATATCTGTATACTTTAACCGGGTCTGTGCACAGTGCTGTGTTGAATTCTGTCTTTGCTCAAATTTTTTAGCTTATACCGGGTGAACGGCCAAGCAAATATCTGAAATAAAACAGAATGTCTAGATATAACCGACATCCGATCTCGATTTTGAATTATAGTAAGGAACCAGAAAAGAAAACGAGCTTATTATTTTTCACGTTCGGCACCAACCGACAAAGTATGAACCGGCATTCATTTTTTTTTTGTAGCCGACAATATCGACCCGCCTGACTAAATGTATGAGCTAACGACTTATGTCTATTTTAATTATACAGATTGTCGTAATCATTTTCATAACAGTCGATTTAAGTATGAAAAGAATGAATATAAGCATCAACTCATAGCCAGCATTAAATCACCTCTGGATCTATAAGGAGACCAAGCTTTTATCATAGTATATAAACTCAGGAATGGTCTGAGAGAGAATAAAGAGTAGGTTTAGCATTCGAAACAACTATAATGGCAGTCTCTAACAAATAAAAACTAGCCAATTAAATTTACATGAACTGTGTGATGCCAGGGCCTAAAAAAATAAAAAACAGAAAAGAAAAACCTGGTTTTTTTTTTTTAATATTTAATGTCAACATTGACACTTGCACACGCTATTAATGGAGTACTTTCAGTGTATAAACCAAAAGGCTGGTCGTCGAGGAAAGCAACGGATTTTGTACAATACGGTTTGTCTAATGAGTTATGGAAAGAAGCTGAGCCGATAAAGAGAAAACAACGAGTCAAGATCGGCCATGGCGGTACGTTAGATCCGATGGCGGAAGGTGTGCTTGTGCTTGGAATAGGTAAAGGGTGTAAGGAGCTGGAAGAGTACTTAAAGGGCACCAAAGAATATTTGGTTACAGCCAAATTCGGAGAAGCTACGGACACATATGATGCAACAGGCACAGTAATTAAAATAGAAAGTACCGACCATTTAACACGAGAATTGGTGATGAAAACATTACCTTCTTTCAAAGGAAATATTACACAGGTTCCACCCATGTAAGGAAAGTTATTGTGATGTGTTTTTCAGCAATCCTAATATGGTAATTTTTATAGTTATTCTGCACTAAAGATACAAGGGAAACGATTGTACGATTATGCCAGGAAGAATATAGAATTGCCGGAACCGATTCAGGCTAGAAGTGTTTATATTGAGGAATTACAAGTCATAAATTATAATAAAAATGTATTGGAAATGCGAGTTGTATGCGGTGGAGGCACTTATATGAGAAGTCTGGTACATGATATAGCGGTATCGATGGGAACATGCGGCCACATGACAGAATTGAAAAGAACGCGACAAGGAATATTTAACATTGGAGACACTTTGAATTTAGATCAAAGCACCTTTTCTGTACAAGCGGTTTTAAAGAAGATTGTAGCACAAAGAAAGTAATAAAAATACCAATTAAAATTTTCTCCATCTCTCCTTTCTTTTTTTTTCTTCATCTCTTTCTCACATTATGCCAATCTCCACTTTACCTTCAGAACTACTTGTACAAATATTACAAAATATTCTGGAATTTACAGATACCTCGTCAAAAGACTTATTAAACTGTTCGCTTACATGCAAAATATGGAGTTATTGTGCTTTACAGTTACTGTGGCACAAACCACTTTTATTAAAACCACTAGCATGGACTGAATTTCAGAAAACATTATTGTTACCAGAGAAGACAACATATATAGCTTATGCTCCACTTGTGCGACGTATTAATCTAGCTGCCGTATCAGATTTTATTAGCGATGATTCATTAGAAACATTATCTGTATGCAAACAATTAGATCGTGTGACTCTCACAGGTTGTTCTTATATTACGGACAGAGGTATTATCAATTTCTTGAGTAAGGATGTCGGTCAATATTTATTGTCAATGGATCTGTCTGAAATCAAAAACATTACGGACGAAACAATATTCATGATTGCAAAAACTTGTAAAAGGCTTCAAGGTTTAAATCTATCGATGAACCCTCCTATCAAAGAAGAATGTACCGCAATCACTGATAAAAGTATCGTTCAGTTAGCTGAAAATTGTAGAGATTTAAGAAGAGTAAGGAGTGCACCCCCCATGAAGGAGCTAAAAAGTAAGGAGTGAATAGTATTGACAACAATTTTTATTATAGATTAGGCTCTCCAATTGGAAGAAACTTACTGATGTCTCAATCACTGCTTTAACGACTTACTGTCCAACTCTATTGGAAATCGATGTCGTTAATTGCTCAATCACAAACAATTCTTTGATACAAATATTTTCCAAATGTAGAGAATTGCGTGAACTAAAAGTAAATCAATGTCAATCTATCAATGACCTTGCCTTCACTAAATCTTCACTGGCAACTATACCCATCGGAAAGGAAATATATTATGATCAGCTCAGAATATTGGATTTAACAAACGTAGTCATGATTACTGACAACACCATTGACTGCATCACACAAGCTGCACCCAAAATTCGAAATTTAATATTCAACAAGTGTGTGAACATCACGGATAAAGGCATTGAATATTTAGCTCGCCTGGGGAGATATTTGCACTACATTCATCTTGGCTCTTGTCGACTCATAACCGACGAATCTATCAAACATCTTGCATCAAATTGTACAAGAATTCGATATATTGATTTGGCTGCGTGTCATAATCTGGGTGATGACACCGTGATTGCATTAGCAGCGTTGCCTAAACTGAAACGAATTGGCTTGGTCAAATGTAATCGTATCACTAATCGTGCCATTATGGCTCTGACTAGAAATTCCCGGACAAGCGTATCTTTGGAACGTATTCATCTATCGTACTGTGACCAACTGACTGCTCAAGCTATCTCCGTACTCGTCATTCATTGTAGAAGATTAACCCATCTCAGTTTATCGTTCGTACCGGCTTTTCAACGTCAGGAATTCCAACAGTTTTGTAGACCTCCTCCAAAAGAATATAATGCGGATTATCAAAGAGCTTTCTGTGTATTTAGTGGACCAAACGTGAAAACTTTGCGTGATCACTTTAGATCGACAGTACACTCGGGAAGAGAACATTTAACTCGTCGATTATACTATCATAACGAAGCGAGCAGAATCGATGAAATCAATGACAACATGCATAGAGTTCATACTGTAAATTAGTACATTAAATATACATATCTAAATAAAACGAATGGTTTGTGGAGTCACGTCATATGAGTAAAGCTTTCTTTTTGTGATATATTCATGATCCCACTTATTTATTATCCATCTCGTACCATTTCGAAACAAGAAATACAGGGCATGTTTTTGTTTATATTTCGCAAGTACGCAACCGTATGTTACGCTGGCTGAAATGGAAATATAGCTGACGCTACAGAGTTACAGGATTGCTGAATTTACACATGTTGGGATGATAAACATAGGCTTAAAATGTCAACGTTAATCGTCCAAGCTTTGTAATTGGCTTAGACGAATGTTATCATTTGGGGGTTCATTAGCATTTGACTTTTTTTTTTTTCAAATGATCAGCACAAGACTTGCTTAGCAGAGTACCAAAAACAAACACTTACTCTTTTAAGATAGTATCGGACTGGTGGGTTGTATTTGGCCATACATCCTACTACTATCTCTATTCAGTAGCCCCAATCTTTACCATACAATTGCTATCAGTACTACTTTGGACGGAGTTACTTTTTTTTTTAGAATTTCACAAATCTCGATGTGATGTACGTCGCTTACATATATGACAAGCATCCACCTATAACCAGCCCGGACTTTATGCTCCTTTGGTAAGAGATAAGAATCTTATTTTATGGGGTGGAAATTCTTTCATACTGAAAATATTTTCTTAATTTTAACGATGACGTAAGTATAACCGATATATGCTTAATATTGACCGTTAATCATCTCCCCCGCACATCACCTTGTTACATATAGTACTACTAATTGTTGGTTTTTTATTCTTTAAACTAATTTTTGTCTGCGCTCTAATAATTGTAGTACTCTGAAAGGAGGGTTATTTACTTTTTTCAATAAAAGACAAAGACACTGCCCAAAGAACCCGGGTCTGCTAATATTTTCCATTTTTGGACTATTGATCACAACAAAAACGCTTCTTCGCCTTGTTACTGCCAATCCCATTTGTCACACCCCCTTAATTTTTTACGCAAATGTTTTCAATGATGATTTTATTTTATTTAGATAAATTAAGCGCTTTGGCCAATTATTCATGGGGCCTGACTCGTGTTTATTTTCTAAAGTCACTTTGACAGATCAACTTACAACTGTAGTCGGTAGTAGTAGAACGAGTAATTTTAATGACTAGTGAGTGAGTACATGATTCGATGTACTGATACATATCTCTATCAAAGTATTTTTAAATTCTAAAATCCATCCATTAGCACATTTTAAACATAACCCGCATGTCTATTCTAGATTCTAATGTCAATTATGCTTTATTTCCGATTTGTTTGAATGCTGGCACAAAAATGTTACAAGTAAATTTGGTCTATTGTTGTGATTTTTTATCCAGAAAAAAAAAGAGAGTTAAGCTTTACCATTATAAGGGTCATGTAAAAAATATGCTAGCCGTAAATCAATAATGCATGCAGATTCGTCGTCACATTGGATTTCTTTTGTTCTAAATTTGTTAACATTTATATTACATTAAAATATTGTTTTTTCCTCTCTTCTTTCTTTACTACATTTCAACAACATGAAATCACTTGCCTTAACTTCAGCGATCGCTGTAATTTTTCCTTCTATTGTTTGGGCCACTTATTTATGGCCAGTTCCCCAATCCTTTAAGCAGGGTCGAGTCGAATTAAACCTTGATGTTTGTACAACGCGAATACTGTTTTTTTTACTGTGATTTAATAGATGCTTATACTTGTTTAGACAACATTCCACATTGAAGCTCCAGAAGTTGCATATCTTCAAGAAGCGGTCCATCGATATACTGAACTTATCATCCACGAGAGATGGACACCTGTAAGCCCCTTCTCTTAATATAGTAATGTTATTGTTTTTGCTTAAATTTTATTGTTCATTTAGGTCCAAGTTCCTTTAACACCAACTAACGAAACAAGTCCTGTTGCTCGTCGTACATTAGGTGCATTAGAGATCATCATTGCAGATGAAGATAAAAAATTAGAATATGGAGTGGATGAATCCTATACTTTAGATATTCCAATCAACGGTGGTGTAGCAACATTGAAATCAGAAACTGTGTGGGGGACAATCCGCGGACTTGAAACATTCTCTCAATTGGTTCAAGCTCGTCCAGAACGAAACGAGGAGGGAGAGATCATGTATTTTGAAAACGAAGAGGATTATGATGAGGGAAACTACGGTTTTGAGGACTTATTTATACCAAATGCACCTATCCGAATTGAAGATTCTCCAAAGTTCTCACACCGTGGTTTGATGCTGGGTAAATGATACAAAATTTTAATACAAACTATTTAGCGTAGAAAAACGGAAACTAAATTCTAATAGACACATCGAGAAACTTTTACCCCATAAAGGACATCCTTCGAACTATTGATGCGATGGCATATAATAAAATGAATGTAAGTACATACTGATCAATCTTTGTCTACTGTAACTGACATTTTTTTATTTTTATTGTATAGGTTTTTCATTGGCATATTACTGATTCTCACAGTTTCCCTCTCAAGCTGCAGAGTGTGCCTGAACTTGCTCAAGAGGGTGCATATAAGCTACATCAGAAACGTTTGGTATACACAAAAAGAGATGTAAGACAAGTCATTGATTATGCATATAAACGTGGTGTACGAGTTATACCTGAAATTGATATGGTAATTACTTTTACTTTTTTAAAATTAAAAATCACATTGGGTCATACTAAAACTATATAGCCTGCACATACTGGTTCTTGGGCTTTGTCTCATAAAGAAATTACGTAAGATAAACTTTCTCCTAATTAACATGCAGTTCATAATATATCCTATTATTAGAACATGTACCGGTGTTCATTATCTTGATGAATCCAACGATTGGAGTAAAAGGCTTGCAGCAGAACCAGGTACCGGTCAACTGAACCCTATCCATAATAAGACGTATGAAATTGTAGAAAAAGTTATTACGGAAGTGAGTGAGTTGTTCTCAGATGATTGGTTTCACGGGGGTGGTGATGAACCTGTTTATAATTGTTGGAATCAAGATGAAGACGTTAGAAATTACATGAAGAAGAATAATGCTACAGGAGTTGATCTCCTAGGCATTTTTTTACAAAAAGAATTAGATATGATTCATGATTCGGACAAAACGGCTATTCTTTGGGAAGGTAACATATTACTTTTATCATCTTTAGAGCAATTGTTTTTGACAACTTTGTAGATCCTGTTACCAATGTTCATTTGCCCATCTCCAAAGATGTTGTCATGCAAGTTTGGATAAA